GTTGTCGTGATAATGTTCCTCCTCCTCCTCCACTCAACAGACCATCAACTCCAAACACAGGCCAGGGGGCAGTAGTAAAATTCCGAAATTGGATATGCCGCTTCAATGTAGGTATTAGTGCAACAATGTGTCATTGGTAACAGGGAAGTTGCGAATGCCTCTGAGCCTAGCAAGCGATCCCAACGGGACCGGCGGAATATATTACATCGCGTACGCACACCTCTGGATCCGGCTGCTCAATCTCGCCCAAGAGCGTAATTCTCGAAGCGGAGTCACCCACAGCCGGGATCGTATCCCAATCGGTAAATTCCACACTTAGTCTTTCGGGCTAAGTTGTGGACTGCTAGGTCCACATGTTGTCTACATTACTAGGACTTGCCTGCCAGTGGCTGGCGCCAACTGTATGTATCTGGAGCAAATGGACAACCGCTGGCCCTTTTTGTGGCTGATACAATTACTACAGCTACAGAGTACTGCTACAACAACCAACATCTCTGCTACCTATCTATTTTATCGTCGTCGTCATATCCTCTCTGGACTCGCGTTGCGCATGTACAATAGCAACCTTGTACATTGTACCTGCCGTTCAAATGAGTGAGCAAATAGAGTGATTAATAAGTATATATACAAGCAAATAACTTGGGTAATTACAAACGGGGAATCAAACAACACTCACCCAATTCTGGATGTGGTGGGTTGCTACTTCTGACATGATGATGAGAAGTGCCCCAGCCGAATGCGGCATCTTCAGCATCTTCCCCCCCAATCACAATGGCGATGCCGCTGTCAATCGGACGAGAAAGGAGATGAGAAGAGTCGTCGCCATTTGCTGAGGAGGCGTTGCCATTCATTCACTTCCATTCATTGCAGCAGTGCTACCAGCAGCAACAGTATTAGCTTCAGCAGCCGCCGGCGGGGATCCCGGCCCCTCCATCAGCCCCTCCCTCAGGCTCAGCCAAGGCCCGCGTGCGTTCAAGCACCCGATGCGCTGGAGATCCCCCCTCCGTGGAAGGAAGATCTTGTTTCTAGTTCGGTTTCTAACATACAGCCCAAACGTTATTTGCAGAGCCGAGCTTCGTTGGTAATATGAGCATGTGAGCATGCAAATGCTAACCTAACCCCCCCATACCGTTGAATTGGACAACGCCAATTGTGCTCGCAAGATGGGTTAGATCTCCCTCTCTCTCACACCCACACTTACACACACATTTTTGACCGTCGCTCCCAATTGAACCAGAATAAAAGAGGAGGACCCTAGCCAAGCTCTCCAGAAGCAGACCCTCGCTGGGGCCATCAGTTCTCAATTTGGATCTATAAAATCACAACTATAACTGGTTTGATCCTTTCATATCTCAACCCCCTTCCCAATTTCACACGCGCCCCTGCTCTGTCATGATGGTCAATGACATACTACTACTGTGCAAGCATTCATTTCAAACTAGCGTCATTGTGGCTCGAAATTGATCAATGCGGGCTCCGGCCGTGGATCCCGACCAGGCATTTGCTCCTTTGGACGGTCGCCTGGTTTGATCTGTCCGTAGGCAGGCCGGTCGGTCGGCTTTGTCGGTTGCGTTACCCAGAGTCTGTTCCTCCGTTTTGCAACACCGTCCCATAGCCAAGTGGGCGATATTTCATATTTCCCTCTATTGACTCGATTCGCCTGGCTTGACGAGACATCCTGATGGGGACAATTAGTCAAAACCAAGTGCTCTTCTCTGCCGGCCTCCCGAGTGCTGGCAGCAGTTTCATCATTGTTCCGCCCGGCTGTCACCGCGAGATGCGCCATGACCCATTGAAGATCCATCCAATTCGTATGAAATCCGCTCCGTTTTTATATCCTTTATATCTGTGATTATCTCTACGCAACGCCTCGACTACCTGACTGTGAAGTCCTTTATCCTTTCCACCGCTGCCAGCATACCTGGCTCCCTGCTTCCCTGCACTTTCTCTCTTTGTTTTCTCCCCCTTCATTACGGGTTCTTCCAGCGAAGAAGCGCAAGCCGAGCCCAGCCCAGCCCAGCCCTGCTTGCGCTACGCTGCATGCATCATGTAACCCCATGGATAGCTGGATAGACACATGCGTAGCCTCCCTTCAGGAGTCAGTCTGCTGCTTTGTACAGACTCATCTGCATCCCGTGAGATCTAGTAGATCCTCGGACTTCTAGAGAACATCAGCAGTGCAGTGCGATGCAGTGCAGGCTCTTGGAAGCGGCCATGAACTCTTGTGTGAGTCGCGTCAAGCCCCACGCCTTGAGTGAGTTTCGCCCATTTCTGTTTTCAGAGATCCGGCCGGGGTTTCGTGTCCCCGTTCATCTATCCCCTGGTTATTGCCCATATGGCTTCAACTCCGAAGGTATAGCTCGTACATTCACTCGCCCTCGCACGCGCCGGCAATCGCGCTCTGCGCTCCCAGTGTCCACGCAACGCCCACTTTGTTGTTGTACCCACAACCTATACTAGCCACTGTAGGTACACTACCTACTTACATTATACACAGTAAATACATTGTAAGCTGCACCTAGATTTAGTGTCTATTGTGCGGATGATGATGATGAAAAAAAAGAAATGAAAAAACCGTCTGCCCTGGACGAGCTCGGATATGTATCTCTTTTGCAATGAAGCAGACTGGCGGGGAAACAATTGGCATATACGAATCGAAATTTTCCTGCACGGCGTTCTGTTTTCCTTGTTTTGACCTTGACTTCGCGTAGAAAGCATATACGCATGTCGTCTGTCCACCTATACTGGAGCTGCCGTGGCAGAAACCCACTCACTGACTGGCTGCACCAACCACACTGGGTAAACAAGCCACCCATGAGAGGGAGCCACCTGAGGCAATCAATCAGCCAGTCAATCAATCAATCAATACCTGCTATCGGGCTGGTCGGTTGTTGGTCCAGCACCTTGGCGAGCCGAATTTGTCCATCTCTCTATCTAAAGTCTTTGTGCCAGCATAGGTAGTAGGTAGTAGGTATGTGGCCTATCATGTACAATGCAGCCTTTGCGTCGGAGTTCGTTCCTACATCCACCTAGAATAGTAGTCGTCAGTCCTTTGCCCAGCCCAGGTTTTTGTTTTTCTTTCTCTCATGTTATTTTTTTCTCTTTCTTCCCGGGAAACCCGCAGCCCTGTCTGGTCTTAGTAGTAGCAGACAGATGATTCCCCCCCATTGCACATTTCCTTTGGCAACTGTATTGTTCCTCCTTTTGCATTATTCAGTTCCATATTCCCATCTCTCTTGTCTATAGCCTGCGTGATTTGCTGCGCTTCCATCGATTCTGTATTCATCTTATTACCAAGTTGCAACGCCTACTATTACGACCAAGGACATAGAGGGAGAAGGAGAGTGGTCGCAATACACACACACCCCACACTCGTTTTTTTTTTTTTTTTTCCCTGGCTACTGCTACTTGTCAGTCCATTCGCGTTCTGGAGGGATCGACCCTGCAGCTGGAAAATTCCCCGACCTATGCGAGCCTCTCGTTCCTTCTTGATGGACATCTGCTAGTGGTAAGCCGTCCAGGCTTGACACACCACCACATTCGCGCTGGTCTCGACTCTGGCGAACCCTTGGAGGCTGACGATCACCCTGGAACCCGGGTTGCAGATGGACGCAACAGTCTAGCTCGATTCAATCGCTTCAAACGTCTTCCACGGGCCCATCACAGCCTTGTCATCTTTCGTGGCGTGAAAAGAAAGGCCATCCCCCTCCTTGGACAGAAGACGACATCTCCTGCACCCAGGACCTTCGAGCCACACCTCGTTGTGTCGTGCTTCCTGCTCTTGCGCCTCATCGCCCAAAAATTTGTGGTCGCAGGTTGTTCGACACTTGGGGCTCCGGGTCCCTCCACCCCCCCATCCAATACGCACACACAGAAGACGGCTTCTCTTAGTCGCCCTATACTTCTTCACAAATCTTCACTCTCCCACCAACTACTACTTGCTCTGCCTATTCGACGGCCCACTTAATTATTTTCTCTCTAGTGAGTCCCTCCTCCGCCCTCACTGTCCCTCACTCATTCAAGCACACCCATCCTAGGGTTATTCTTTTCACAGACCCTTAACCTCTTTTTTTTGTCCCTATTTTTCTTTTCTCTTGCTGTTTTGTTTTCTGAATATTGCCATGTCGTCCAATTTTGATTCTATTATTCGTGGCCCTTGCAGCAATATTCTCTCTGATACGCACTGTTTCTGAAAGAAATAAGCCAGGCCCGTCATATTCTCCACATCCAACAGGATCAACTTCGACTTTCCACTTCGGGCATTGCCTAAAACGGCCACAAGGGCCATAAAACTACCATTCACCACAAATTACCGTCCGTTCCCAGCAATCCTGGCTTGCTTCTTTCCGCGGTAGTCGATTATTATTCTTGCTATTCCCTCTCCTCGTCGAGCGGCAACCCTCGCTTATAGTCTGGGGTACCTTGAACGGCCACAGCACTACCGCTGTACTTGCAAGCCATACCCGAGCTACTGCCCCATTCGATTCCTTGGTATTCTTATTGCCCACAATCTATACCTACATACATACGTACATACATACATCCTTACATACCTACACTACTACCACCTACATGTACGCGGCACCAGCATCAGCAATCGTCGGATGAGGCTGGGTTCCTCGACCCAAGAATCCCACAGGGCCCCGCTTGCTTCCTTTCCTCTTTCTACTAAGCTGGCCGCCCTCTCCAGCTTCGACTGCTGCTACTACTGCTACCATCACTATTACTAGTAATAGTAGTAGTACTACTACTATATGCAAAGGTTATTATTCCCCATATACACCCCCCCGCTCCTCAACTTCATCTCTTTTTTCTTCTTCTTCTTCTTTCCCTCTTTTCTCTCTTCTTGTTCGGCCTCTCTCGCTTCCTTCTATTCGTTTGGCCCCTTTTCATGTTTTAATTCTGATTCCCTTCTCTTCAAAATTATTTCTTTTCATCTTGGACCGTAAATTGTCTTTGCAAATGTCCACCATTCATTCACTTGCCGAGCGGCTATCGACATGATGCTCACGTTGAAACAGCCAGTACATTACGGGTATCGTACCGTCCATGATCTTCCGACACCTCCCTCGACTTCCCGACCATCACCCCCCGTGACCATACAGGAAAATCCCCAAAAGCCGTTGCCGCCTCTGCCCCGTAGGAACAGCCCTTCTACCAGAGACATGTCAGCGCCTCATCGTGGTCTGCCTTTGCCGGCCATGACTCTGCCTCAGCCCAACCCGCCGCCGGCGTCTAGCCATCCGCCTGGTCACGGGCCTGGACCGGGACCTGGGCCGATGTCTCATGTGCAACAGCCGCAATCGCAGCCTCCGCTGCCGCCTTCTTCGGGTCATTCGCTAGGTGCACTGCCTATGGCACCCCAGTGGCAGGGTCAGGGAGCAGACGAACCCATGAGGACATGGCTAGTTGCAAAGGCGGAAGAGGAGAAGAGGAAACAGGAGGAAGAAAAGACGAGGCAAGAGACTCTGCGGTTAGAAAAACGGAGGCTCGAGCATGATATGCTGCGTACATGCCTGGACCGTGGGGTCCCTCCACCAATGGTTCCAGTCATGTTCCTCGGTATGGCCGGAGGCATGCTTCCCCAGGCCGCGCTGGAGCAAGCACAGCAGTATCTGGCACAGCTTGGCCATCAGCCTCAGTTGCCACCAGCACCAGGGCAGATCTCGCCGGATCACATGAGGCGAGATTCCCAATCACATGGATACGGACCGTATGCCGGGTCTGCTGGAGTTCCGTCCACGCCCGGATCCGCACCTCAGACTGGTGGTTTTGTACCATACCAAGGGCCTGCTTCACCGACCCGAGCCAGAGCACACACGTTGTCTGTAGCGGGAGCAATTGGGCGGCCATTGGGCAGTACACTGCCACGATTAGCCACGGGGGAGTTGATTACAGGGCCACAAGCGGGCCAACCCCAAGTACATGGACAGCAGCTATCGACCTCGCAGTCAGAGACACAGTCTCCTTCGATCTATTTTCACCACTGGCAACCGCCAAGTTCTCAGGGAGTTTCTACTCAGCCTGCGACACCTTCCGGTTCGTCAAGAAGCAAGAGGAGGCTTTGATGCTCGCAAAGCTAATGTTTTGTGTTAGTCGACTCGCCCAGGAAACGAAAAGCCACTGGGCCACAGCAGGCGGCACCTCCTCCGAACACACAAGCCAGCAGAAGATCTCCTCCCTTTGGTCACTCTTCCACCCTAGCAAATCCACCTCAAGGGCGGCGGCGGGGGCACTCGCGGCAGAGGAGTGATCTCTCGTCCTATAGATCGGCGGCGGGAGGTCGTGGCCGGGGGGACAGCTTCGGTCCGAGCAGGGCACTATCCCCTGGTCTGGGCACTCCAGTCGAAGGCGTACCGCTCGAGTCATCTGCGCAAGTGCGCACCGGCACACATACAGTATCCTCAATGCTTTCAGAACAACCATCACCACCCTATACGGGCGAATCAAGGACTCAACAACATCAGCAGCAACATGACCAAACTGGGGAATCGGATAGAAGACGCTCACCTAATTCCGCTGACGAGCAAACGCGGACTGGAGGCGCAGCACGTCCGGCCAGCCGTACACGAGACGATGAATGAAACGCCAACATCACGACCTTCTGAATTTCAGCCTCATCATTTTTCAACATGCGACTTACTTGCGCGGCGAGCTTTTGTCCCTTTATACACAGACGAAACAGGTTGGCCATTCCGTTTTCCGCCAATGCAAATCATCATCATTTGCTTGATTGTTTGTTTGTTGTCGAAAGACTGGTGCTCTGGAGACAAAATTTTACTTTTCAACTTTCTATAGACGATCATGACCGTCGAACAGTTCAATTTTTTTATTCTTCGAAATCGAGCCACACATTTGTGTTTGGCATTATTGACTTTTGTACTTATCAAAACTTTGTATAAATTAGTTTTCTGCATAACTCCCGGGGCTTGATAAAGGAATCAAGAGCATGACCGGCCAGGACATTTGATCAGAATGGAAGAGAACGGGTAAAGGAGTTCATTGGTAGGCGGCCTAGGTATGGGTTTGGCATTGCTTTCTACCGGGGAATAGGGTGGGCCAGACTTGTACAGTTTATCTCGGCGATCGATGCCGAGAGAAAATAAAAATTACCAACTGAGCAAAGGCCCAGACCCAGAAATAATCCAAATAAAACGGGAATCTGGAATCAACGGATGAAAAGAGTAAATTCAGTTTCAACAGCGTTGCATGCATACTTCGCTTGTGTCTTTTAATCACAAGCAGCTAATTCGTGATCCCAACGAAGATCTCTCTTGCTGTTTCTGGGCTTGTTTCATGATTTGGTACCTGAAAATAGATTTTAGAAGAGAATCGAGCCCTTTGATAATTGGAAGAAGATAATCGCGTCATTAGATATGTCTTTTACTAGGCTTTAAAACCCCATGAAAAAAAAAGCCCACCGGTATCTGGAGATATTGGGACCTTACCACAAAAATCAGCAATTTTTGAGATGCATGTCACGAAAAAGAAAAGCAATATATGGCATAAGAAACTACTATATGATCCCTCTCTGCTCTCTCCTAATGGCTAGACTAAACAGGCCCGGCCAAGAAACATCAATCGAGAATTGAATGACGATAGACTGAAGCAAGAAAAGCCCCCCGTATATGCGCGCGCGCTTGTGTCAGACCCGAGGACATCTTGGCAGACATGGAAAGGAGAAAAAGAAGAAAAGAGTTTGGTGTTGCACAGAATAACGAGGTGCTAGGATTGTACGAACAAAGGGGGAAATTTTGGCGCGCGTTGAAGGCATTGAAATCTCTCTCATTTTCCCTCATTGCCCCCTGTTTGTTTTTTGTTCCCCCTCGGACTCTCATGGGCCCAAGGAGAGCAAAGAAGATGAGTAGGTATCATTTGGCCGCATCCGTGTCCAAGGTGGGGAAAACTACATGATTTGTTGGCTGCGTTACGGTTTCAATCCGATCGCACGAAAATACCCCCTTTCTCCCCCCTAGTTCCTCGTTCCATGCAGACGCAGCAGACACGGGCGGACTTTTGCCGGCCAGGGATGACGAGAGAAAGAGAGAGAGAGAGAGAGAGAGGCCCAAACGCGAGGCCATGAAGTAATATGGAATGACTTGGGAAATGGATAAATTGTATTCCATGCCTAGTTTATAAATGACATGGTGCGTGAGATATGTAAGCAAGGGATTTCAATCCGTTTTGTCTTTCACTCTGATTTATTTCCCACGTGGGATTTCTGACCAATAAAGTGATATTATTTGTCACGACAAATTATGTACATGTCTCCTTAGGACGACTCGATATGGACGGTTGAATGAAACGAACGCGTGGGGTCGAGCAGAGATGGAAATGTTTTGGGTTGTGACGTCTCGGGGTACCATAAGTGAATTAGCTGGGTATATAGCCTATAGCAAACTGGGCTTTGTTATAGAGAAACGCCAAGACTATTTCCACTGGTGAAGAGAGAGACGAGGGGGGGAAGAGGGAGGGTAGATTTAGGTAAGTGGGGGGTGGAATTCGGTCAGACTTTCGGGGCGGTCTTTTTTTTCTTTCTCTCTCTGTTTGCTTTATAACCCGGCCGCATTGACTTGGGGCTAAATCTCTTTTGGGAAACTCGTTTATTAGATCGGACCACTATATTCTCTCAAGATTTCGAGAAATCAAATCTCTCGGATGGTTTAGTTTGGTGCAGCCATGAAAAAAGAATTAAGTTTTTCTATTACGTGTGCCAATATCTGTATAGTCAGCCTCTTTCTTTTCTATTTGTTTTTGTTTTCTCTCATAGCCGCCATAAGCCTGCAAAGCAACCTCGGGCGCCTTTTCCCCAAAAGCCACGGTACTCCGAAAAGGTCGCTTTAGACCGAATTCTCCCTCACTCTCTCTCTCTCACACGCGCACACACTACAACTCATTTTCCACTACGGCCGAAGCCATGCAAGTGCGCTCCGTATGTTTACCCGACTTTTTGTCAAGATCGACATGATGAGAGCCAAGGTGTAAGAAAGATCTGAGCGATGGGGGACTGCAACCTGTCCAGGTTATTTTCCGCATCCTGTGGTGTAAAAATCTAATCATACCTGCTCAGTTGGGTGTATTCTTCCGATTACCGGGAAGATGTGGAAGAAAGGGAAAAACACACCAACAGCAAGGACAGGGAAAGCCAAAAGAAAACGGCACATTCCAAAGAAAAATATCCTTGTTTTGAATAGGCGCTTGCGAAAGATGGAAAGGACCAAGTCATGATGGGAAAATGCAACACTGGCAGAGAGAAGACACCCTTGTCTTTTGCCTGTCTTTTCTCGGATCGCTTCAGTTGAGCCACTTGACGCTCGGGAATAGATTGAGATGCATTTCAAGCCACAGACACACATATGCGATAGCCGATCACCGGCGCCAACAAAGAGGCACAGAAAGGGGGGGAAAGAAAAAAAAAAGAGAGAAGGACAGAGGACGAGTCCCAATCAAACTCCGCTCCCAAGCATTCTATAGCCGCGGCAAGCGACTTTTGGTGTTTCTCGACACACTTACCCTCAGGTAAACTTTCTCCCAGCGCGGCTATTCATATTAATGCACAGACCTTTTTATTATCATATACTGGGTAGATACCATTATGCGTAAATCTTTATCATGATATTACCAGCGCTTATGATGCTATATATTTTTAACCTGCCAATTGTAATTCTCTTGTCCTTTCTGCTGAACAGCCACGACAAGACGAGTTGTATTTTGTTACCGGGACATGGATTTTGCCCTTTTACTTCCCGTCATACCATGGCGACGCCCCAGCCCGCGTTTCAGAATAGGCAGGCACTCGAGCAAGTAAGGAAAAAAGCAGGCAGACGCTCAGCCGCCGTTGTATTGCATATTAGCTATACCACTCCTACTGCTGTTGGGAGCCGAAACGCGCGGAACATCCGAGGATAGTGTTTTAGACCCGACTACCGGCTCGCTAAATTTTGTTTGTACTCGGCAAAGCAGCAGGCGCCTTTTCCTTCTCCCTCTCTCTATGTCATTCGGTCTTGTTTCTCTCCGGTATCATGTTCTCCCAGGATATTCAATCAGTACAGAGAGGAATAGAAAACGAAACTTGTTCCGTTTCCATTTCTGCCTCCTCCCCCGCTTTTCCCCCTCTCGCTCTTGACATTACCCAAAGGACGCGAAACAACTATCTCTCCTCCTTGAACGAACGGCATGAGGCAATGTCACAATGATAAATGTAACGCCATCATACAAAATTGCCCCCCTGGAATAAAGATGTTGCCGAGATAGGCACGCGCCCGCAGGAGATTAAAGAAAAAGACGAAAAGAAAAGAAGAGAAAGAGAAAGAATGCGGCTGCGACTGCACCTGCAACCAAGGAAACATCCAGCAGGTCAAATAAGGGGAAATATAGACAAAAGTTCTTGTCATTTGTTGCTCGTTGGAACTGAACACCGGACTCCCTTGACAAACTATCCTCGTAAGGTTGGAAAACATAGATTTTCCAACGGTGATATTATGGTTGATAAAGGACCTTTTTCGTAAAATTATGCGCCTCTCAATTAATTTCTTATGAGTTTAAACATCATCTCATATATTACCTAGTACTGACTCTTGTCCCATCTACTTGGGCTCTAAAGATAATCAAGAGAAGGGGTCGGGGGAAAGGGAGAAGGAGGGGGAAAAACCTGGAATGATTGCTGTCGAACACATCCAGTTGAATACCTTTTTTCCCACACTCTATCGCGGCTAGGTGTAATCGCTCTATACCAGAGCATATTTGGAGGTGTAACTTATTAGATACGTGTAGTCTTCTCTCTCGTAGAAATCCCCCAAACTCCCCAACTAAACGCTGCCAGCAACTCCAAACCATGTTGCCGTGGCCAGACAAGGCACACAGGCAGCAAGGGGGTTCTTTCTCTCTATCTCTCTCTTTCCCTTTCAGAAATCACAGGTTATCGGTACCCAGTTCCAAAGAAACAAAAGACAAGCCAAGAGAAAAAGATTTTCGACGGCGTTGGTCCTGTTGCAAAGACAAGAAAGTCTTGGCAGATCAAAGTCAAGGAAGGTCACAATCCATGATTCGCGTCCAAGTCAAGTCAGACGTATCAATCAGCCATCCCACTCAAGCAAAATAGGAAGAAAAGGGAAGTACCGGTTACACGGTTCTTTATCGGGAAAATTGTTCACACGGGGAATATCCTTATCAAGAGGTTTCTTTGGTTCCTCCGCTTAACCGGCGAGATTCCAGAAGCCCCCCGACATTATGAATCTTTCCGCCGACGGCTTGGGTAACATTAACCATTGTGATTCATGATACGAATATTATACAGTCGGACAATCGCGATTGGGGACAGAATTGTTGATGGAAAGAAAAAGAAGAAGAAGCACCATTATTTCAATGTATATGTCTCCGTGTCGTGCAAGAGCTCGAAAGGAGTGAGTGTATCATCGAGAGCCAACTTACTGCCATGCCCAGTCTTGCATCTCGGGGCTCTCGAATCATCAGAATAGCCTGTGAAAATTGACTGGAAACGACACGATTGAGTCGTCGTCATCGAAAGATTGAAAACCTGTCAGGATATCCCATGCACTTCCAACCCATCGAACCTGTTGCATTCAAGCAAATTATTTACCCTGTTCTTTGCTCTGCTCTTCGCCATGACGAACTCACCATCACAAGATACCACCTCTCCTAGAAATTGACTCAGAGAGCAATGTCCACACAGCTTAGCAACTCAGGGCTCAATAAGAATCAGGCCATAACCCAGAGTCCAGTGCACCATGGGCACGATTATTAAAGGATAAGTAGAGAATACTTGAAATTGAATGGGCAATATTCTTTGTTGCAAATTAGAAAATTAAATTATGTGCTTTACTTTGCCTTTTTCGATATCATCGTCATCATCTCGTTCCCATCTCTTTTGTGTCTCTGTAAGATGGAGCCAAAAAAAGAGCACCCAAGACTGATACGCGCATAACCACTGACAAAAAGAAAACAATTAAAAACGTAGTCCTATCTGGCAAGACGCATAAGGGGTATATTGCAGTCTCGCCGTCCAAAAAAGCCCATAGTGCGCCATGCTTGCCTTTGAAATGAAGCGAAGGAGTAAAACCAAGATCGAGGATAAGATGCATCCTCGATAGGTAAGGGTGATGTTTGTTTGACATATGAAAAAATGATGGAGGACCTTCTGGCGTGGCCTCGACGCTGTATGGAGGTCAGTCATGGAGCAAGACAAAAAGTCGCGCCGTTGGTCGGCTGCACCCAGCAGCGACCACAGCTAGTCTGGCGGCTTGAAATCAAGCCCGGGGATCTTTTCAAACCCGTCCTATCAACGACATCTCGGTTGATGTGCCCAACGAATTGGGTATGTAGTCGGACTCCTTTCCGTATATCCACCAAACGCAACACGGCGGGATGAGAATGGGCCTCCTAAAACTTCTTCATCTTGTTCATATACTGCTTGTATTCAGTGTGGACAACTTTCATGAGGAGGTCATCGTTCTTGACTGGGACAAAGGACGTGAGTGCCTTCATTGCATTTTCAAACTCCGAGTCAACAATGTGCTCACTCAGAGCAAGAATGATAGCTGTACTCGTTGCGTGAATGGTCTCGAGTCCCTTGGACGAGATTTGCATAGCCTGCTTGGTGTTGGGCGCTTCTGGAGCTGGTGGGTCAGGAGGCGAGGCACCCAAGAGCATGAAGACGTCCCATATGCGGAGTTGAGCTGAGAATGGCATGGAGAGATGGAAAAGTGTCAGATACCATCTTGTTCCATATGCCGTCGGGTCAATGCAAAGCTCCTTGAGGCTCTTGGCCACGTTTTTCTTCTCTGCTAGCCAATACTTTTCAAAGTCTTGAAGAGCTTCCATGAGCTCGGTAAAGTTGGGAGAGTATAGTCGATTCAGACCCCGCAACTCCCAGAGTCGCACGAGCATGATGAAGCAACGTTCCTCATCATAGTAGCTGAGCAGTGTGGCAGCCAGGGAAGCCATGCCTTGTACGTAGCCAGTCAGTGGAAAATATAGTGACAATGCATGAAGTACTCGAAATAGCAATCTTTGCCCTCCTCGGTACCTCTTGCGGAACATGATGTGCTGGCTGATAGTCCGCGGCACGTCAAGATCAATCTGTACATCATCAGGCGATGACTGCCCTTGCAGCTCGAAAAAGGCTGCACTGAGCTCCTCGTCGGTAGCGCAGGGTTTCTTGCTGTTTCTTGCGCTGGTGGCTAGAAAGGAGTACCAAGCCGAGGCACGCCACCGATCAGGTATGCCCTTCCATGTTCGCTCAACAATTTTGGGATGCTTGGTGTCAAACTCGAAAACCATACCCTCGCCTTCCTTTCCTGGCTTGACAATCTTTGCCATTTTGCGCCACTTCTCGGTGCGCTGCCACTCCTTTCGCCTGTACTCGTCGGCCAGCTGCCCAGCCACTAGGTCTTCACCAATGCCGCTGAAGCCTGGCTCCTGGGCTAGCATCTCTCCCGCCTCGTCCATGCATTTCCGATCCTTGTTGTGTGGAAGCAGATTGGCAGCTTGCCCAAGGGCAGAGCGAGTAGAGCGTTTAGACCCCGTAGAGAGCCCCGATGTCTGCGTATGCAGAGAGCGGGCCGAAGCCCTTCTACCCGGTCCTTGTTTGGCTCCGAGATACTGCGAATGCGACGCAGCACCTCTCCGGCCCAGTATACTTCGGTGTTTGCTGCGAGGTGTTGACTGGCTGGGACTGTCCATGATTGTCGCCGGTGCACTCGATGGTGTCATGGGGCGTTTTGGTACGATGAAACCAAAGCGGTCCACATTCTCGAATTCGACATCTTCCCAGTCCTCTATGCGGTCCACCCGCTCATAGGTATGATGCACTTGCTCATCTGGTCGCGACGCAGAAGGCCCCGCGGACTCGGGGATCCCAGTTGCTGGCTGTGGGACTCCAGGTTGATCGTCCGGATTTGAATTTGTGTTGGTGCTTGGACTTGGCTTTGAACTGCAGCGAGAATAGATTAGATGCTGGCCAAGCAAAACGTGATGCCGGATATTCAAGGAAACCATACGAGTTCTCATCCACATCCGACGGGACTTCCACTGTAGGCTCGAGCCGTTCGCCATGCGAAGAGGCAGGAGCCCCATCTTCCCATCTGAGTCCTTCCCTGGGTTCATAGAGCGATCTCACCTTTTGAGATTCCCTTTCCACTTCTACAGATATCAATCGGATGCTGGGAGCACGCCGGGCTGATTTGGGTGTCGTGGGAGCATCAGCATACGGCACTGAAGGGGGCGTCGGGGGTGGCAATGGTGGCGGCGGTGTCATTCTGCCGGATGGGGGAGCAGGACGCGTATCCCCTGACTTGCGATCGCCATCAGCAACATTCGAGTGCGCGGCATTGTTCTTGTTTGCCTTGATCCTCGGGGGCGAAGCAAGGGGGAAGACGCGCTGGGGCCGCTGTTGCTCTGGTGAGGACGGCGATGCAGGAGTAGTAGCAGCGGCGGCGGCAGCAGCAGCAGCGCGGTGTGCAAATCCACTGTCGTCGCTCATGTTTGCGGCGTGTCTCGATGGGCGCATGCCACCGAGCATGATACTGCCGCGTTTTGAAAAGGAGATTTGTTGAACAAAGTCAGCGAAATCATCTCCGTCGTGGGCAGATGCGTCTGTCACGAGCTTAGGAGAGTTTGGCAGACGAGTGTAATGGTAGTGGTCCCTGGAACTCTGTTCATCTCCATTTCGTGGTGGGGCGACCACGGTGACCGGGGCTGTACTACTGCTAGTCGTGGCCTTGGCTCCGTCTAGCGACAGGGTAGGGTTGGCGGTCGATGGCTCCCCATGACGGGCCTCGGCGGGAGACTCCGAAAGTGGTCGCCGCTGCTGCTGCTGATGCTGCTGCTTCTTTTTCTTGAGACGCTTTGACGACTTCATTGATGATGAGCCCGAGGTCCGGAAACTGAAGGAGCGACGAGAAAAGATGGACGAAGAGGCAGATGTTTTCTCGGGGAAGTTTGGGGGCGGGGTGGTCGGGGAGGTGGGCGATACGGTATTGGCCTCAGACAACCCTGGCGAGTGCAAAGGAATGCTGGATACGCTGTGATTGTTGGTTCCACCCAAATCCAAATCGTCGCCGTGCCCCAGTATATTATGCGTCTGCGCGTACAGGGACGTTGGCGACGACGACCTGATCCGCAGCGGTGGAACAAGCAAAGCCGGGACAAATTTAGATCTTCGGGCAGATTGGATTTTCTCGTATGGGAACGGATCCTCGTCTTCTTCCCCTTCTTCTTCCTCGCTGCTCTCGTCGTAAAAGGTCCGCGCTTGCGACGACGATGAGGTGGAGGTCAAGATCGAGGTTGTGGTAGGTGCGTGGCCAGAGTCCCGTTTGTTTTTTAAGTCGTCCGGGTCGCTGCTCCGCGGGGCACCACTTCTCAGCGCTGGGTGCAGATGCTCTTCGGTTCCTGGCGGTAGGGGCAGGGGTCCAGATGGCGGCGGGTGCGGAGGAGCAACAATAACCGGAAAAGTTGAAGTTGTTGTAATAATGGTAGGAGAAGCAGTAATTGTTGGGCCTGAAACTGGCGCCGAAGATTGAGGAGTCCGTGCCAGAATTGTAGGTGGTACTGCTGGTACCGGTGTCGATATACACGAAATCGGTCGTGCGGCTGTTACTGTTGCTGTTGCTGCTGCTGTTACTATTGCTGCCCCTGCTGTCGCTGCTCTGGCTCTTGCTGCAGCGGCGCGTTGGTAGCGCAGAGGTGACTTGGCCGGGGGGATGGGGATAGGCGGCTCAGCCTGAGCAGCCTGATCGTACCGGAAAGCAACCAAACTAGTGTCGTCCCTGAAGGGCATGAGTGCAACTGGCCGGGATTTGTGGCGCACACTTGTATATCTTTTTGGTGGCATCATATCACTGCTCCTCTTCTCTAGAAGCAATGATGCGTTGTTCCTGTCTCTTACAACACAAGCGTAATGTTGTGTGACAGGCACTTGGCGAACAGTTCACAATGGCAGCAGCTGAAGGTTATGGAGCTCTCGGTCTGGCGGATAATGTAGGTATGTAGGTATAAGAATAATGGACCAAGTGCACGCTGCTTTCTCGCCTTGTGGGCAGTGGTGGGAAAACAGCCCGTTGTAAATAGATCGACGGGTCCAGAGCAGAAGGGCGGCTCGATAGCGAGATGAGAGAGCCAAAATAACCGTGAGTTTCAAGCCAACCTAAGATTTTGCCCGTCTCGAGAAATTAAAGCGGAATACTTTGGTCTGTCTTTTGTATTTGCAACGATATTTTGTAGTCTGCTTGCTTGCTCCCACGGTAATTTGCAAACGAGCGGGATTTCAAGTATGCCAGGCACCTGGGGAAGGGAAGAAAAAAAAGTCCTTTGTATTATGGTGGTACCGAATCCTTGGTGGCGGATGAGAGGCTGCAGGAGTAAGAGAGGTTGTCGATATTGGACAAGCTCATGGGGCGGTGGCTGCGACTTTGGCTGACACGAAGCAAGGAGAGAGTTTTGGCACTCGGCGTCAATGTCATGAAAAGCGTCGAATGAAATCTTGAAAGTAACGGAAGACGTCTGGTTAATCTTTGGGGAGAAAAGGAGCCGGGATGTGGTGCGAGGATCCGTTGTTGTATATTTATCATAGAGAGGTGCAGTTTGTAAGTGGTGTGCGTCTGCGTATGTCATATATCCAAGTGTGCAGGTGTGTGCCCACCCGGGAAATGTCATCTATGTATGGAATGATGGATCTTATGGTTGGTTGGGTTGTGTTCCTCTTTTGGTATGGAGTCAAGGACGACGGCAGCCATCATGCAGATAGCTGAGTCCGTAGGTAAGGTAGGTATAGTTCTTGTTGTTATTGTTTTTTTTTCTCTACCTCCATCCCCTCTTCCATGTCCGCCGCCTCCTCCTCTTCTTCGTCCACTTCCATTCAACTACGTACTCAGTCTGCTTGTCCACTTCGGCATGAGATGTGATTCGTGAAAGGTAGGGTTCGTTTGCCTTCCGGAGCGTACATGGGAAGTCTAGTCTACCCCGTTCTGGCGGGTGCAGATCTGCATCGTCCTCTTTTCCTTTTCTTTTTTTTTCTTCTTCTCCCTCAATGGGTTAAGGTTCATATCCCCACCAGTGTTCTGGCCGATGCCGACAATGGCATTCATTGGTAGAGATGAAAGACACGGGCTGTCTACTTACATATGCCCGAACAGAGTCTGATATGGACCTTTGGCCAGAGTAGGCTGAAATTATGGAGCATTGAGTGGGCATGGAATTGACCTGGAAGTTCAAGCCGTGAGAGCCACTCACTTGGCTGACTGACCAGGCTTGTCAGGGCTCGGCAGGCAGACAGACAGTCGAGAACCGTCCCACCAGTCCATAGAATCGTGACCACATTGTGTAAAGGCGGGCCTTTTGAGCCGGGGAACTGTACATAGTAGCTAGTAGTCATGCACATCATCTAGTATCCACACAAGACTACCTACGTATACTAGGTCGTCAGCTCAGGGTGCTCTGGTATTGATTACCGAATGCCATGCATCCTTTGCAACCCCCCGGGCCCCGGTTGCCGTTCTGGGTAGGGTGACAAGACGTGATGGACGCTAGTAGTGGGAGAAGACATTGTATGATCTAGTCCCATCGTACCAAATTCAGAGTTTGCCAACCAAACCTTTCCCAGTCACCGGCGCCTGCATATTCATGTCCCTCTTTGGGAAGGATTGTCTCGCCTACACGCATGTGCATTTCGGGTTCAAAGTGAAAACGAAGCTTATTGACACTTTATAAACAAACACCAGAAAACTCAATGGCAGCATTTCTCATGGTGCCAGCCTATCTTCAAATAAGAAAAGCCTGATGACAGAGAGGTCAAGGTAGGCAAAAGGCGGGGAGAGAAGGAGAAAGACAGAAGAGGGAGGCTCATGCCCGGTCTCGGGTTTTGCAATGTCACAACTCCCGCCTCTTTCCATCTGTTTGGGAGAAGTCGTCAAGATTGTTTTGATGGACTTTCTGTCATCTTGTCAGTCTGGTCCCAATGGAACCTAGTATTGCGTTCTTGGCGCCTGGACATCCGACTATGTTTAGTATAGCGCCGACCCAATTGGCACATCCTAGCTGGCAATCGTCCCCGCAATTTTTCGTGGACCACCAGGGAGGATAATGGCAGAAGTGAATCGAGACTATGATCTACCACTTACATAGTAATAGGTCGAAGTAGGTAGGTCTCTTTGTATACTCAACCTTGATGGGAAACGATCGTGGCTCATTTGAGTTGAGCGCCTCCCCTTCTCCAAACTTTCGACGTGACGCGCCATCACGTTTCAAGAGACTTACGGGAGCAAGTGTCATTCCCCTCCGGATCGATTAACCAGGTAAGAGCGGATCTATCATTCCTTTTGACTCGGGACTTGCCTAGCATTTCTTTTTCCTTCCCTTCTTCTCCCTCCCTCGGAACTACAATTGGAGGTAAAAAGCAGAAGGGTCCCCCTCCACCTCGACTCGTCCCCCTCTCAACGCTCCTACGGATCGGATCGGCTTCTAGGGGACCGTTTTTCCATGTCACGTAGGCGATTTGCTCGGCTATTTGCTGCACAAACGCTGGGCAAAGATGCAGAAGGACACGCCTTGCAGCGGACTAGGTGCAATTATGGACAGCAACATTCCTTTCCTCTTGTCTCCGTCATCCGGATAGGGTATAAGTCAAGTTCAAGTTCATGCTTGCAACCACTGCCGCCGCCGCGACGCCCCCTTCATGCGGCCTTAGTGGGATGGGGGGAGGGGATGGTGGGTGGCGGCGGCCTTCTCCCCCCAAAGTCAACCAACGGAGCGTCTCACCCCGGTCTACTTGATAATGACAAGACAATTTATTCACGAATTGACTGACAACCCTTCAACGTGGCTCTTTATCCAGCCAGCCAGCTTGCTCACTTGAAACGTCTAGATAGGTTGTCAATGACTCGGTTCAGATTTCTTTTACCGTAACACGGATCATGTGAGCAAACTCTAACATCGGTTATTCTTTTCTCTCCTCTTGTACTGTCGGTCGTCGGTCTTGAAAAGTTCCATTATATGTCGGCGAACTATAACAACCCCCCCAAACCTTGGCAGCCTCGCTCAATCATGATCCATCATGAGGCTGCGCAAGGAAAACTTGACTGAAATCATGAATAGCCGCTATTCTACAACGTTTTCGTTCTCGCCGTTGTCAAACGACTAATTGCAACCATATGCTGGCGTCCATAATGCGCGGTTTCAGGTCGATACACCGCCCTAGTCGCCAAGAAGCCCGGATGATGGTTCCTTGCATACTCCAGCTGCACCTAAAGCTGTTGGGCTGCCAAACGCCCACACGTGTTTCGAGCAAATCAATGAGAATGAGCCTCGCTCAGGTAGCCATGCCAGCACATACACAAAAATATTCCAGCCTCGTGTGTACACGTCAAGGAAGACGGAAAGAGATTTGCAAATTCTAGGCCTTGTTCTTATTTCGTGTTTATTTGGATACCTAAGAAACCATAAGTAGACAATCGGATGATACCCATGACACCTCCACTTAACGACTTGTCCCACAAGTGCCTGATGCACATGCTTACAGGTACGAGTCCGTCCCTTACATCCAGCCGCATCGTGAATCAGCTCCAGTTGTGAAAGCGGCCATGTTTTGGGCCCATTCATATGCCATCCGATGGAAATGGCCAATTTGACAAAGGAACGAGAAGCTTGGCCTTGTCCTTCTGGCAATGCGTTGGAGACAACCTCTAACGATTATGTTGGGTTTCACAAGTGATCTCGGATGATAGTTTTAGTCATTCACATTGATAAATGTAGCAGCAATGGTTCGCCGGCATTCGCTTGCAAAGTGTATGCGGTCTTACTTCGGGCTCGAATTTCAAATTGGAATGTTTGGGCTCCCAAGTACCAGCGAGCCTCTGACTTATGAAAGTGTGCTTGGAGATGGCCGGACGATCCAACTGTCTCTTTAATATATATACATATATTTAGAAAGGAAGCCATACTCTTCAACATAATTTAGGCTTCCTGGTTTTTAAAGTAGTACGATGTACATGTCATGTCTGGATGCTTGACGGATGATGGGAAAAAGGTAAGAAAATTTATGTTCCCATGGAGACATCGCAAGCAAAAGAGCGCAACGAGGAGATTAATCGAGGCTTTCAATTGGCCAAGCAGTGACCACTTAGGATGGCGGCCTGACGGACTTGCTACTACTGTGTCGTATTTGTGATTTGGACTTTCCCCTCCAGGCAGGCACAACAGTCCGGGCCCTGAGGAATCTACAAACGAAAAGTTTCATAGCCCATTGACTGACTGTTCATGAGCTTTTCTAGAGCACAGCGCATAGTGCTCTCCTAGGGGGATAAAATCAACTTATTGTGTAAAGCATGGCTATGTGACAACATCCACATGCTACCATCTGTATACTTTATCACAACCCGCTGCAACTTGCAAAGCATTGACGCTATAACACATTTGTATAGTTTGGCTAGAGACTTATTACCCGCGCCGATTCGCCTTGAAACAAACCCAGCGCTACAATCAAGATTCCTATACCACCTCATAATTGGTCCTTTGCAATACACTATCAATATTTACTCCCTGATTCATGACAAATATCCCCCGAGAAAAAACGGCGTTCACCGTGTTTGGCTACCACCTACCCGGCAGTGCCGGCTAGGACAGCGTGAGCCTGATAGCTGATACATATACACATTTCTTCTTCAAAGACCGAGCTTTTGCTTCTGAATCCTTGGGTAGACTCCAATAATGATCAGCACACTGATCAAGATAAAAGCCCAGAGCTTCAAGCCCAGCACATTGAAGTTGTAGTCGGTCTGCGTTGCCGAGATGACCGTTGCCTGGAGGAACAGGAAAAGCACGTACCCGCTAACGCGGTGGTACTTCCAGATGCTCTTGGCCTTGGCTTCGCTACCGTATAGTTTGGGAGTGGCGTACATGGTGAAGCCCACCAGGTACTGAATCAGAAGCCAAAAGGACGCAATGACGCCCAAGTAGCCGTGCAATGACTTGAAGTGTGCACCATTGCTACGGATCTTGTTGTACTCGATCGATATGACACCAACGGCCAGGATGAGGAAGGCGAGCAGGTTGAGACCTGCGTGGAGCTTTTGGCCGACTTGCTTCTGCTTTCCGCTGTGTGTGGGCTGAAGGATGAGAATCGACTGCACGAGGACGAGCATTCCGAGCGACTGCGCCAGGGGGTGGACCGAGAAAAGGATCAGAGGGCCGTGGAGGAAGACGGCGGCCCATACCGACGCGATGAGCAAAAGGCTGGCGCCTTCGGCGATGATGCCGGTCCCTGACGACAAGATTAGTGTCGGCATTTTGATGGTTTGACTTTCGTGACCAAAGTAATTGACAAAGGACCGGAAGAACAGTTCACTGTATTCATATAACAAGACAAGGAAGCTGACAAATTGTCCGGACTGGGATTTCTAATGTGGGGAAATAAACGGTGCGGCGTGCTCAAAGTCCCGGATCGCGAGAGATCCCCCGGCTATGCTCGGAGCAGGGGAAAAGAAGCATAGAAGAGACAGAGTACATACCAAGGATGAGGTTTTTGGCAATAGGAGCATTTTCTCTCTGAGAAGCGTCGCCCGGACGGCCGAGGAGTGGCTCCATGTCGTCAGCACCGGCGGATTCGCGGTCCACCACGGGGTCATTGGGGATACCCGTCGCGCTCGCCATGTTGGTCGGTTTGTGCTTGCTTGCTGGCTTGCTTGATTGCTTATGCGGGTGAACTGGCGGCAAGGTTTTCGGGTTTGTTTTCTGGCTGCAATTTTTCTGGTCTTGGTTCACGCAGCTGGTATCTGATCGCGGTCCTTTCGAAAGGGTTGACAGAAGTCAGGCCGACGTCAGTGGATCAGCGCGGGCTTCCAGCTCTTATGAATTGAGGATTCTCTCGGTTACGCTGACGGGTCAGACTCGGGGGTACAAGGACGTCACTCGGAGAATGAGGCAGGCGTTGCCTGAAGACGCCATCGATTGTGAACATGAGAAACAGTGTCTGCGCATCATTACCAGGCAGGGTATGCTGGGGTCACTGAGGATTGAGCGAATCGGAGCGCTGCAATTCATCAGCTCCAACGCCCTTGGGGTCCTCTCCCAACCCAAAATTGCGGGGGATTTCTCGTTTTTGGAATCCCTGGGCACGGCAATCGTGGGGGGAAATTCGCACTTTGTCTCGCGCTACGTCCGTAGAGATATATAACACCAGCAAGGGAACAACATCAAGTCCATGATAGTATTCCATGTACGAAACGGATGCTTCATCATATTCGGTTTGAAACACTATCCAACAATTTTATACGACTGGGTATAAGTGGCGTCACGCTCAGCAGTGCCCTCTAGGGCTGCTAACCATGTTGACGAAGTGCCTGCACCGCTTCCAAGATGCATCTATACATGATGCAGCAATAATCTGTTAGTACTGACAATCAGTATGAATGACTACTTGCCCGGCAGTTGAGGAGGCACTTTGCTCCGTCGCTTCGGCTTCGAAGTTCATATCACGAAAAGTGGAAATGTGCTACCGTGGTTCCTTTACCTTAAAGTATTGATAAGCGGAAGCTCTATTAGCGAAAGCGCCTCCGGGTCCGGCCGATGTCTGCGATGCGCCGTTCGCGGACCTGCCCCGCCAGCGATTAGGCGGGGTCCCCAAGTTGTTAAGGCCTGCACATGTTAAACGGCGTCCCTCTGAAATGTCGACGACTTTTATTTAGTTTTCGACTTTTAATCTCATGAATGTAATTTTCACTATCATATATACTCTTCGTCGGTCAAGAACAAAGACGCATCACCAAATCACTTACCACACGGTCAATTCAGTGTCAGTCATCACATCAAGTAGAGTCCACCATGATTGAGGATATCGAGTACAAGCTGGCACCTGTCAAAGCAACCTCGGTTGCCACGGATGACATTGACAAGACGTTCCGCTCCAGCAGCATTGGTGAGTCAATCCATGACATGCTACAGGGCGTCCGTCACAGAAGGTTGACCAGCCTACCCGTCTAGATCTGATATCCGGGACTTTGGGCGGCAAAATCCTGGGTTTCTCAGATGAGTGGTTTGCAGATGCGCTTAACCTCATCACACCCACACCCCCTATTCGCCAGCCCGGTAAAATGGTATACACCGGAGCTTGGTATGATGGTTGGGAGACCAGGAGACACAACACAGAGCCTTTTGACTGGGTCGTGATCCGACTTGGTGTAGCTTCGGGCACCGTCACAGGAATCGAGGTAGACACGGCTTTCTTCTCGGGAAACCACGCGCCTGCGATCTCCGTCGAAGGCTGCTTCAGCCAGAGTGATGACGAGGTGCTCTCATGGAAGGGCGGAAAAGGAGGGTGGGAACCTATCCTAGACATTCGGGAGTGTGGTCCATCTCAGCGGTTCGGATGGAAGCTTGACGAGCCCACGTCCAAGCAGTATACCCACGTCAGGCTCAACATGTACCCTGATGGTGGAATTGCCCGTTTCCGGCTCTTTGGCCACGCTGTCCCGGTTTTCCCTGAGGACACAGAGGCGATTTTCGACTTGGGCGCAGCACAGAACGGTGCTGTAGCCGTTTCCTGCAGCGACCAGCACTTTGGCACCAAGGACAATCTCGTGCTGCCAGGTCGTGGCAAGGATATGGGCGATGGCTGGGAAACGGCACGCTCGCGGACCAAGGGCCATGTGGACTGGGCAATCATTCGACTCGGCGCGACAGCACTGATTCAAAGCTTCATTGTCGACACGGCATTCTTCAGGGGTAACTTCCCGCAAAAGACGAAGCTGGATGCCATTGAGTGGAAAGGAGAGGGTGAACCCAGTGCCGATGCTGAGGGATGGACTGAGGTTGTAGCACCGAGCAAGTGCGGTCCTGATCAAGAACACGCCTTTGACTGTTCCGTAAAGGATAAGCCTTTTACTCATGTGAAACTGACCATCATTCCAGACGGTGGAGTCAAGAGACTGCGTGTCTTGGCTAAGAGATTTGTGTGAGGTGTACCAAGAAGTATTGGATAGAGGTTCTGCTTGGATATACCTTGGAAAAGTAAAATAAAAATAGAATTAAGTCCTATCGTAACTTGATCAACTTGATGCAATGAAAATTGAGGAAGGGCCAATTTTCTATTCAGGTTGTAAGTGTTAACAGAACCCCCCCTGGTCTATGGCAGGATTGAGAGCATTGGGAAATTCATATGCAGGATTAATGCAGGGAGTGGGACCAACCAGAGCAGTGGGCTAGAGGACAGCTAACCAACTACGTAATTTGGAGTTCATATGGGCAACATGTGAGGTATGTAGTTGTATCCTCCAAATATATTTAATGCTGGCCAAAGGATAACAAACCTTCAAGTAACAGGCTACCCAAAAAAAGGTACACTTGGCTGAACCAAGCACAAAGGGGCAATCACAAACACGTCTACCTAGGGTCTCACCGGAAAAAGACGCACGACTCTGGACATCTTTTATCACTCTTCGGCGGTGTGGTTTGCTGATCGCTTAACGTATCCACGCTCTGCTGCCACTACAAGTACACTACGAAATACGGGCGTTGACAATATTAACGCACGGGCCAATCAAGCGCTGAAACCCACTCTGCTCAATGCAATTGTAGGTAGGCGGGCGACAGCCAGCCAGCTACTGACTGCTATTCCGGACTACTATTCTGGTCCCTGAATTGCACCTCCCAAGCCGATCGAACCCCTCGGAATAGGTTGTTAACATCAACAGTCGTGACTGCACTGCACCGAACCAAGCCTCTGACACCGGCATACCGATTTCGCGCTCGCCAAGGGATGATTACAGGGTAATCAAATCTACCTGCTGCTGCCTTCACCTATGCTGGCGGCGAGCAAACATGGATTTCGGCGACCCTGATGGTGGGGGGTTTGGCGATGAGCAGCCCAAGAAGCCCAGGGAGCTGCCGGCCGACCTGCCAAAGTCTCTGGACGATCGCCGACATGTCCCTACAGAGATGGTTAGGGAAACAGAATTCTATGATGGCTGGCAAGGTTCGTCGTACTCCCAGCTGCGATTGCAGCCGAGCTCGCCCATGTTGACGATGACGTACCAGGGCAATCGCAATTCCTGACGAGCCCGATGTTGGCAAAACCTCTACAATTCAACGAGCTATCACTCGATGACCCCAAATACGAGCAAGATATAACAAAAGGAATCGCAGACAGCGATGCTCGCCTCATGGAAATGCTGGCTGCACAAGCCCAGCAACAAGGCGTGGGAGGGGTGGATGCAGACGCAATCGCAAGCGACGCGAAGCTCTCCGACGATGAGAAGAAAGACATTCTACAACGGTCGCTGGCCATGGCCGCTAGTAACGGAGACCTCGACCAAGTAAACTCCATCCTCGGTGGCAAAGGAAAAGCCATAGTCAACGTGAATGCTGTGGACGATGACGGAACGCCGCCTCTTGTTTACGCAAGCTGCTTTGTAGGCACCACCCTTCCTCTTTCTCAATAAGTACACATTGAACTTGTGCTGACAATGACAGGGTCATGAGAACGTGGTGCAAGCTTTAGTGGACGCCGGCGCGGACGTGGACAAGCAGGACCGCAACCAGTGGAATGCCCTCATGTGGGCCATGACCAACCGGCACAAGGGCATCGCCAAGATCCTTCTCGATAACGGGGCATCCCCAGATGCCAAGACTTCCTCAGGTCGAACGGCATTCGATTTCATTGCTCCCGATAGCGACATGTCCTTCTACCTGAGTAATAATGGCTACAACATTGGAAATGCCGGCGTTGATGACTTTTATCAGCCCGGTTTCGAAGATCAAATTGAAGCTGAGTTGGCAGAAACCGAAATGCGGCGACGAATGATGATGGATAGCGCGCGGGATCTCGAGGTCGATCTAGGCAATGTAGGCATGGACGATCAACCCGAGGTGCGTTTACTGGCTGAGTCCTCAATTTGTGGTAGCTGTCCATGTACTGATTGTGAATGTAGAACTCGGACGATTTTGAGGAAGAAGCACAAGAGTTCGATTGGAGCCGCTGTCTCCATGATCAAATGTTTGTTTTCCAGGAGAACCAGCTCGACCGATTATTGGATGTCATCATTACCAATATGCAACCACAAAGATCACCTTCTCAGAAGCCTGTCCCGGCAAACATGATTTTCCTGAGCGCGAGATATGCGCACTATCATGCCAGCCCTGAGCTGTTGGCCGAGCTTCTCGTGCGCGCACAAGACAAGATCAACGACGTTATAGAGCAACATCAATGGGACATGACGATCTTGGCATTCTGGATGTCAAACGCGACACTTCTGCTTCACTATTTGAAGAAGGATGCTGGCCTTTTGGAAGCTACGACTGAGTTCCAAGCCCAGCTGGCGGAGCTGATCAATGAGATCTTTATACTTATTGTCAGAGATGCCGAGAGACGACTCGACAAGGTGCTCGATGTGGCCATGCTGGAGCACGAAACGATACCAGGCTTTGAAGATGTCACCTTCCAACACGAGTGGAAATTATTCAAGCGAAAAAAGGAGGTCAAGGCAGAGCCAATCGAGAAGCGAATGCGACCTCCATCGCCCAAGCAAAAGGCGAAGCCGGCCCCTCGAAATGTGACATCGTTATTATCCTCGACACTTTTTGTGCTCGATCTATACGATATCCACTCTGTCATAACAGCACAAATCGTTTCGCAGTTGATTTACTGGCTGAGCGCAGAAATGTTCAACCGTATAATGAACAATAGGAAATATCTGGCCCGAACGAAGGCCATGCAGATTCGAATGAACGTCTCAGTGCTCGAGGACTGGGCAAGAACCAATAATCGCAAGCCTGAACACTATGAAAGTGGGGAGATGACGGCAACTGGCGAGACCACCATTGAAGCAGCACGGCGGCATCTCGCCCCAGTCATTCAACTGCTGCAGTGGCTGCAATGCTTTTCATCACTTGCTCCAGACGATCTTGAGGCTCTGGTCGGTACTCTCCAGTCACTACCCCGACTGAGTCCCCAACAGCTGATCTACTCGGCCAAGTATTACAGGCCAGAGGTTGGAGAGAAAGGGCTCCCCAAGAGTGCGCTGAAATATCTTGAAGCCATTCAAAAAGAAGCGGCAATTAAGAGAGACCGCAGAAGGACGGTATCCCCATCGCGTCTGAGCGCACCAGCCACACCTGCCACACCTGCCAGGAGCATAAGTGGACATGACTTTGACGTGCCAGGCAGTGTTCAAAGCACACCAGGAGGGCCCCTGGACGAAGAGGAAGATCTTCCGGATGGAATCAATCTCGACCCCTCCTTCATGTTACCATTTTCATTACCTTCGTCAACAGACATGTTAGTCTCGTATGGTGCTGGGTTTGGCGGGACAAACCGGGAGCGGGCTAGAAAGTATATCCCCACGATTCCACCCGAGTTCCTTGACAAACTGATTGAACCTGGTGGTCGAAGAATGTTTGGCGAAAAGGACTGGGAAAATGAGGAAGTATAAATGTCTATTTGGGTCGAAGGCATGATTTAGACACGGGCTTAGACGCATTAGCGAGTAAACTTGCGTATAGTTGCCTGCCATTGACTTCTGATCGTGACATCTGAGGAGACCTCATGTGACTTGTTGATCTCAGCATTATCTTGCCGGGTACTGTATGGTGCCGCCGTGTTGAATTGGGAATAAACATGTATTGAGCCAATGCCCAAAGGCTGATCCAGCCTGAACGAAGTTCTACGCAATTGCGGATGCTGCGCTCTGCGCTTTATAATTCAAAGTTTACCGCGGTGTGTTCAGCAACCAATGATGTTTACAAGCACACAAATGACACGGGATCCTATAGAGCTGCATTTCAAGACCAGCGATGTTCTTCAGGCAGCGGGTCCATGCTTGGCACAAATGATGTACGTAGAAATCGAATTCTGGTTGAGGCTACTTCAAAGCGGCTGGCTACGAGTTCATAGTCTTAGGGCCATTACAAGCAGAAAGTAGAAGTCCTACAAGATGGCTTGGGACTTTTGGGTCTGCATACGGTGTGTATTAGCGGGACGGGATGGTAAGACACTGTGTGCGGAGATCAAGCAGTGGATAAGATGGCACTGCGATGTGCGGCTGAAGACGCCCGGCTTCTAAACAGCTGGGTACCACACTCACCCGCCTATAGGACACTCTGCAATAGTCAATACAAAAGAGGTGCACCGGAGTTGTTTTCTTTTGTCGTTATTCCTTAATGCGCTTTCTTTTTATCCTCGCTGCCACGCAAAAGGACAAATACCACCCCCGCTGATGGCCTCCAAGCCGACTACCGCAATCGGAGATGTCGCAACGACGTCGTAAGTATACTTGGGCACAACTCACTTACAACTCTTCCATGTTCTCAATTAGCAAGATCTGACAGCAAGACAGGTGTGAAAGATGTCGACGGAGAAAGGTGTGTATAGGACAGTCCCAACGCTTATCTGGCGCATATCATATATTGAGTTCATTGAGTAGATCAAATGCGATCGGCAACAGCCGTGCGCCGCTTGCGAGAAGGCGGGAACGACTTGTCTGATAGCAGGATCAGGAGAGAAGCAAAGGTCTGTACAAGTGCCTCACCTACGCATCCTAGGCTGGATCTGTGGCTCACACATGCATCAAAGACCTGTACCAAAGAGTTATGTTCAGGCACTAGAGCGCAGCGTTGCATCATTAGAGCTTTTTATACAACAACTACATGATGCAGACCATTCAAAGAGAGACGAGATGCTCAAGGGCTATGTGCTCAAGTTGGAAAAGCCCAAGCCAAACAGCCCGCCGGCAGATGGTAGAATGGACCCATCTACCGAAATCGAGCTCGCATTAGCCAGGGCCCGCGCCGGCCAACTGAGGAAACTCCGAGCTGGTAATGCCTCGCAGTTCTTTGGAGGCACGAGCCTGTTCCAGATCCACGGCGATGAGCCGCCGGCAACTCAACCTCAGCACCACCAGGGCAACGAGGTCTTGAGCCCGTCTTTCGCTCAAACTCAAGCGTTCTCTCCTTCGGCTGTCTCGGATCCCGGCCAATTCCCATACTCGGCACACGACGACATGTGCCAGAATCTCATGGCGCACTTCTTCCGATCACAATATCCATATAATATGTGCGTATACCGCGAGTTCTTTCTTAGAGACTATGATATAGGAGTCGGGCGGTATTATTCCGAGGTTCTTCTCTATGCCATTTGTGCAATGGGTGCCCTGGCGTCAGCAGATCCTTCAATGCTGGCCATTTCCGAGATATTTGCCAGCCAAGCCGAGTTTCTAGTGTACACCTCACTGGACAAGCCCGACTTGACGCTACTCCAAGCCATGATACTGCTCGGTTACAGATTTATAGGCCACGGAAAGGCGTCAAAGGGGTGGCTCTTCTGCGGCATGGCCTTTCGGCTGGCACACGAGATGGGCTTGCATCTCGACCCGAACAATTGGGGCCAGTCAGAGCCTGTGCTGGACAGAGACAGAGAGATTTCACGCAGGGTGTATTGGTCTGCGTTCAACGCCGATAAACAGGTGAGCCTCTACTTTGGCCGTCCTCCGGCACTGTATCCGCACGAGTCCGACGTGAGGAATACGATTCGTATTCCGTACCCGGATGACTGGCAAGGTCTGCTCGAAACGTACATTGCAAAGAACACATCTGCCACTGCCTTTGAGGACGGCATCGCACTATCCGGCAGCTTTATCTACCGAACCGAGTTGTACAAGATCATACACACCATGATCACGGATCTGTTTGAGAATAGACGGCAGAACGCCGATAGTGCCGTAATGGCTGCCACGGCACAGCGGATACATGTATCATTGCACAAGTGGTTGGCAACCTTGCCCAGCAAACTATATTGGAACCAATGGAGTAGCGGTCAAGTACAACCATTTGTTCTTCACTTACAGTAGGCGAACCCTGGCCTGTCTCTTCTGACACGCTCAAAGGACTTCTTGCTGACACTATATCCACCAGTATGTTGTTTCACACGGCCATGATCATCCTCCACCGCCCGCCACGCCATCTATTCAGTAAGCCGGGAGTCGCCGAGAGCGAAGACGTCGAGATCTGCTACGAGTCACTCCAGGCCCTGCTGCGGCTCATGAAGACGTACGCACGCTTCTACCAGTACGCCGCGCTGCCCCTCGACTTTGTCCACACGCTCTCGGTAACTGCCGGCACCTTGCTCATGAAGCGATACCTGGAGAACGCGGCCCAGGAAGACAGCGGCATTGCCCGCGCCATGCAAATCGTCCTCGAAGCCATGGACGCCGTCAAGTACACCTGGCCCTGCATCGTCGAGATCAAGGAGAGCGTCGAGCGCGCCATGGAGGCGCAGCCCCGGTCTCAGTCAGAGATGGAGGGTGGTGCCCGTGACCCTGTGCTCGACTTTGGGTTCCTGGTCGACTTTGGCGGCGTGGGCAATGGTGGCGATGGGTCGTCGGTTGCTGGCGCGAACCGTCCAGATTTTCAAATTTCGGATGCGGATCTAGGTCTTTTACTGGACGAGGGCTTCGCCATGGACCAGTTTGATTTCAATGACCCGCTAACAGGCCAGACTCTAACCTTGGACGAGAACACGTAAACTAGATGGATTCTGTGATTTATTATCGAGTCTTCATTATCTCATTAGACTAGCGAACGAATCGGGTGTTTCTATGTACTCTCCTTCTATCCCGAAAAGAGGCTAGATACTCTGTCAAAATGGCAGACGGAACCTTGTTTCATGAGAATCTGGAATGGAAAAGAAAAACGGCCACTGCCTTGTGTTACATCAAGATGGGTCAGCGAGGGAGGTGCCAGATAGTCCATGAACGAATGGTACCCCATCCATTAAAACCCCCATCCGTCACTGCGGAGTCGGGTTTCACTGCATTATTAGCATCATCAGAGTCCGTTGAGAATGGTGACATCCTGGTCCAATCACTTTTCACGGCATTTTTATGCCAGTAAGCAAAATCGATGGTGATGACAGAAAGGACCAGGGCACTTCAAAAAGCACGCTCCCTGCTGCTGCATCGATAATCACCACTCATTTGTTCGTACACGAATGTACGTAAGAAATGATTGAGAACAAGTGAACCTTGGTTCATGGTGTTTAGCTATGCGCTCTGTCGATCTTACACAGTTGAAATTGGCGACTTGACAACATCAACCACCTCAAGATCCAGAAATAGCAGGCAGCCCTTCTAGTCATAGCTCGACTTGACAACATCTTCATCCCGACTGTCGAGAAGCAACATGTGACCAGGCGCATGCGCCATGACGGTGCCCTGAATTTTGTCACCAGCCTTGACAACGGCCTCTTGTGGCGTGACGCCACAGCCCCAGAACACGGGAACCTCATCCTCGCTGCCAAACAGGGCACCAAGAGGCGTCTCGCCGTCCGCGGCCAGCGGCGCATCACCCCACTGGACCTCGTCGATGCTCGCAATACCCAGACGCGCCAGGGTGTCCCAGCCCCAGTCCAGGGGCTCGCCGTGGGTGGCATTATAGGCCCGGGTAATCTCCCGGACGCGGTCGACGTCGCGCAGCGGGTACGGCCGCATCGACACCACATAGGTGCCGCCGGTAAAGACGCCCGCGGGACACAGGGGCACGGCGGTGCGGTACATGGCGACGTTGCGGCCGAGGACGGCGTGGCGCGGGGGCAGGGCGTGCGCCGCCAGCGCCGACTCGAAGCTGTAGCTGCAGCCGACCAGGAACGCGACGTGGTCGGGCGTCCACTCGGCCGCCACGTCGAGCACGTGCGACCTCGCCACGCGGGCGTCCCGGTACACCATGTACCGCGGGGCGTCGTGGCGGAGGTCGAGGTCCGCGGCCACAGCCGACCCCGGTATGTAGGACCGCAGCTGGTCGTAGGCGCCGGGGGCTGAGGACTCGGCAATGAGGGGGCACGGCACGGGGTTTCTGGCGCAGAGCAGTCGGAAATCCGAGGCGTAGCGGGACGGCAGGATGATGAGGTTGGCCTGCAGATATCCTGGCGCCAGGCCAGAGGTGACCGTCGTCAGGCTCTTGTTGCGGCAGGCTAGACGGGCTTCATTGCCGGTACTGATGGTACTGGTCAAAGTCTCTGATGCGGATTCTGTGATTTCCTTTTGCTGGTCTCTCGTGGAAGAAGAAGATGAGGAGCATGCAACAGCTGCCATGGTTTTTGTGTAATATTGTTCAAAGATAAAGCTATAAATGGGTGTTGATACTATTATCGCGGATTAGATGACAATGGCATATATATTTAGATTGATCCAAAGGCAATGTAATTTCACTTTCAAGAGTGAACAGAACAATTCAGGTCCAAGGAACATATGGTCAACCCGTTTTCTGCTTTTTGATACGGTTATCATATTCAGCATCGTATATATGCACGGTAGTTGTCGTGCTGATAATACTCACACGGAGGTGGAGCGCCGCTCGAGGCTCAGCTGCAGATGACGGAGACGGATCTCCGATAGTCAGCCCGGCCGTGGTGATAAGTTAGCACCAGACGCAGTACGTACTATGCTGCCGTGCAGGACATTGAATCAGTGGAAAGGTAATTCGCAAAAAGAAAAAAAAAAAAAAAANAAAAAAAAACGAAGTGAATTCAAAATAATTTGGCCAATATGAATTCCGTACTCGTCACTCAAAGGTGTGTGTGCTCGTGCAGCTCCTACTAAATATTGAGGGATAAGCGAATGTTATTCCTTTGATATAAAGCCAGTTTCTTATTGCGTAATATTCTTAACCACGAAGAAATATAAACGCCATAAGAGTTCTAGCTAAATTTTTATTGCTAAAAGAAGACAACGTTTTCTTTCCAATTTTTCCTTTAAGCAGGAAAGAAAAGGTGTTGCTGCAAGAGCGGTATAGAAGCTGTCCGTCTCAGCCCTAATCGCCCATTAGACTTGGATTAAAGAGTCCCACCCAGGGTATCTAGTAGTCGAGCACAATGCTGTCCCAGCAAAAGGCAGTTTCAACAAACCCTGCAAAGTAGACAGACTCTAATTCCTCAGACTTTTGAGACTACTCACGAGGATAGAAGCGAAGCCACGTGGTAAACAGATTCCGAGCCGACTTCCGAATTTCATCTCTCGGCTCTTGCAGCAAGCCTGATGATGGTGTGAACTTGGACGAGGTTGGCAGTGTCACTTGAGTACAACGCGTAGTAGGTTGGGTAGGATTGGTTTTCACGACGGCCAGTGCTGAACGGGCGAACCGATTGGGTTCCTGATCTCTTCGCAAGAGAAGACTGGAGGCTTGCTCGTGAGATCTACCCAACTGATGTGCAAAGAAGGTGGGAATGGCGTCCTCGTGATGTGGATTTCTAGCGATTTGGCACTCGGGTTCTAGTTTATACTTGGATGGGTCAGTTGGTGGATCTATTTAGCGGGAACGTCGAACGATTGTCAAGGAAGAGCCATGCACTCTTGGGCAGAAAATAATTCAAAAGGTGGCAGATCAGTCAGCCTCATCGAGTTAAGGGGGTCAATTCAAGCAACTTCCCTTCACAATGGCAAGGCCGTTGCTATGGGCTATCGGTTACTTCGGTTGGATTGACTCGACGATTACGTCGTCCAAGATTGATCACTTGTTGATCGAATATAATGAGTACATCGTAGTATACTACGCGCTTGCTCATCCTGGACCGATGTGTGGTTGCGCGATAACTAGATATGTAGGCGTCCCCAGTCGACTGTCGCAAGCTACTACCGTGGTGCTATATACGTCGCTTTACTCTTTTGCAAGTGAATATTGATGTCAAAGGTCTCGGATTGTCGAGAGAAAACCAAGTCGAATGGAGTGGGACGGGGAGCAAACGCCACTCGAGCAGAATTGCAACTGGTGAAACAGCGGCGGCGGTCTGGCCGCTTACGAGGGCATTATTCGACGTTTTCACCATTAATGACAGATGGTTCGGTTGAGCCCCGTACAAAGAATCTATCCAAGTGTTTCGAGAAGGATTATGAGTAGAGTATGTCCATACTGCCGTTGCACTCACTTCGTGTTGTGTACGTATTTCGTGTATTCCAGGTCCGCAAAATAATCAATATTTGTGGGCTCAGTCGATCGCTCCTTGATTTGGAATATATCCAGTCATGTGCCGAGCACCAGAGAGGTCTGTCAGAGTCATGTCCACTACCACTACCCACTGGCAAATACTGGAGCTTTGTCGAAGTGATTTCACTTTCAGTAGGAACAAAGACTCCGTGGCCGCTTTCGAGGCTAAATTCAGCGAGGGACTAGGTGAACAAATAGAAATAGAGAAATAAAACAAATGGCCGAGGAGATTCTGTTTTCAGCTGCTTATGCGGACGCTATAGCTGAAGACATAGTCGGAACCCCAGGTTACGAGCTGCTTCATTGCCCTGAGCGCGAGCGAGAGCTGACGGCAATGGACCGAACAGGCGCGCCCGCCGCGCCAAACAAGAGACTCGTGGTTTGTGTCACAATGGTGGAAAAGTTCCGGCTAGACGCATTCTAGCGCAGCTGAAGGGTTACCCCCTAAGCGTCCAACAGGAGGCCGTGAGAGGTGGCGGTCCCACCAAGTACTGCTGCTGCTGTCTGGCATGCTACAAGGTAAGGTACAACGTGGCTCTTCACTAAGCAAGGTATATTTGTTAGGTACTTGGTGGGTTTTTTGGCTGTCTACAGAGTACTATTGATGCTTCGACGGTATAGTTGCAGATCCACCTGACGAGGCGCTGTCTTGATCAGGAACAGTTTGGCATCTAGACTTGGATGCGGGTGAATGCACGCGGGAGTCTTAAAATGTCCGTCTTGCAGTCTCTGGCACTCTTTTGCCGAACGACACTGCAGATCTGAAAGGTGCCACTGCAGACCTACATGAGGTATGTAGGTTGGTAGGTACCTGTGCCGTCCCGTACGAGTCAAGTGTCTGTCGTCTGCAGCTGCTGCGTTGCAGACCCGAATGCATATATATGTAGCTCGTAGGTAGGTAGATGACAGATAAAACACAAGAGCATCAATCTTTTGCCATGGAAAAAACATGGGCTCCCTCTCAGCCAGCTGCAGACGCCATGTCTCTGTGTGGCTCAACCCAATTGTAGGGCAACGGTGAGACGGGTGACGTAGTTGTGCTTGAAAAAAGATGCCGAACGCGCCGATACACTGCTTAACAAATACTAGTGAAATATTGTTCAAAAAGACCGCCACCACGAGTAAGTGAGTAGACAGAATGATAAGAATAGAAAATTTCGTGACAGTGTCTGGTGGTGAAGGCGAACAAAAAAAGATCATGGTGACCAGTAACGGATCGAGATCTCGATCATATTGCCATCATACAATGCGGCTCCGGCGGTTGGTACCTACGATGATTATATCAATTATTGGCAAATCGGAAACCAAGCGTAATGTAGGTACACAGCCTAACCATGCTTGCTTGCCTGCTTGCCATGGCAATTGAATTGTCGCTCGCCTCACAAACATGGCAAAGTTGCAATGGCATGATATGGACAGGGTAAGAAAAGGCCCAGGCAATAAGATTAACAATAATAAAGAGAAAACCAAAACGCAATAGCGGTTTCTTGCTTCCACATTACGAAAGCCGCTCACTTAGCCCACCCAGATGCCAGCGAAGTCTCCAGCTAACCTCCAATGGCCAAGGCAGCGGGGAGAAGAAGCATGGCAAGTGGATTTTTCAAGCGCCAGGCGAGGCCAGGATTAAGGTGGCTCGCTAATCCCGCTCAAGGATTGGGTTGGTTAGGAACTTTAGTTCCCTTTTAGTTGGCGGGCCTGGCTGTTCAAGTCAAAGCAGCTGAAGAATGGGAAGCAAAACTTGGAAGTCGAAGTAGGCAGCAGTAACCACAATGGCAGTAGCAGAATCAAGCAGAAGGAGAAGAAGCGAATGTAAACACGCACGTTGTGGCCGGAGCACTGGCGCCAGATGACGATATTTAATGAGTGAGTGTGTGTGAGAGAGAGTGTGAGAGAGGGAGAGGGTATGTGAGAGAAAGGAGGGAAAACAGAAGGCAACAAAGGTATCGGCCCTGCATCGCACCTCGTGGGCATGCGACAAATGTTTGTTGTACGTGTAGGGCAATAGTTTGGCGAGGTTCCCATGCGAGGTCGCGAAAGTATTAAGCAAACAAAATAAGGTGGTTGTTAGGGCTTATAATATAAGCAGTTGAAGATAGTATTCTGTGTACAAAGCAGTAAAAGAAGAAGAGAAAAGACGCCAGCGAACAAGGTGACGACGGGCAAGGAAGGGGACCGGCTTCGAAGAATGAATGGAGTTGCAATGTGGATCACAGATGGATACAGAATAGGTAGAATCATCTATCTAATGCCCGCCAAACTTGGATGCTGAAGACGAGGGACCCTCTTTGGCGGCAGCATTTTTCTTGCTAGATGCTGTTCTGGGCCATGACCACGCGGGCTCGAAAAACCACGCCGCGCGCTGCCTCGCTGCAGCTGTTGGTCGATATCTGTCCGCATTTGTTTGCAATGCTGTCTCGTCTTTTCTCTTCAATGCCTGTTTCTGGTCTGGTCTGATTAATGGATCGATTGATCTACGGTACTGCTGCTGCTACCTAACCTACCTACTACCTACCTACTACCTACAGCTCGCCTGCCATACCCATTCATTGGCGTGCGTCTAAGATAATTGTGCATAATAGTGTGGTTTTTCTTTCTTTCTTTCTCTTTTCAACCCATCGTCATTCCCCAGATTACATAGCCGCTCGTTGGGTTTCTTTTCTCTGCTTGGGTGGCACGGCAAAGCCGGTGCGTCAAAGAAGGAAAGAGAGAAAAAAAGAAGCTCCCGTTAGAACAAGCCCCAGAGGATATTTTGAGAGGGGGGGGCGCTGTCAAGCGACCAGGCACCGTTACGTCATAATAGACAAGCCGCAGTGTCTGCCCCTAGGATCGCCCAGATACCCGCCCGCAACATCAACTTTTCCACCTTAACTCCATTCAGCCCATCCGTTCCATCGATTTGGACTGGGCAGAAGAGACGATACTGTACCTACATTACCTACACACTGGACGCTACCCTCGGTCACCCATAATAAACAACAAAATAAACACCCGAAGCCGCCAGTGCTCTCTGCCCAAGCCCTGGCCAAGGCCCACCCCTGCCATCCAACGGAAAAGTACATCGATCACGATCAGCAAAGAACTTGTGTGTAGTCCAGGCAATGCACCATTGTGTGTAGGAGAACTGCATCCGAATAGTAGTAGTAGGAGGAGGCCAAAAAACCGTCGGGAACACCAACCTACTTACCGTACCTGCCTGCCCTGGCCAGACACACACTCACACACTCACATACACGTCTCCTTTCGCACACACGACATACACTTCACTCTCAGCACTGACGTATTCACCCTCTGCTTTTCTTCATCTAGACGACGGGGGAATGCATTCGTAAGGAATGCCACAACCATCCTCAAAGTCACCACAATCCCCGCATAGATCGCTGCCGGCGCCACATGACGACACCGAATCCTCACACACGATAGCCGACCACAATCGGAGGACTTATGCGGAAGAATACAGGGACACCGGGTGCAATGTGCTGGTAGAAGGCATGCCGCATTTTCCAAGGCCTCCGTCGACGTCAGGCCATCAATATGGCCGTGAGACCGGCCATGTCCCACTCTCACTCCGCGGCGGCGGCGGCTCATCCTCCAATGCGCCCGAAACTAATGATGCCTCCTCACCCGTGAGCAAGAGCCCGCGCATCAAACAGATCATGCGCTCCGACGTGTTGGACTCGCCAAAGAGCGAGAAGAAGCAAGGCAAGGGCGTGAGTATCGCCGAAGGGTCACCTGAAGTTATTGATTCACAATCTATAATCAACCAGTATAAGGAACGGTTGGCTCGCGATATTGCACGTCGGGAACTTGTTGCTCGGGCTCCTCAATCGCCCAAGCGTGTCTCTCCCATCCGGGAGGAGTTGTCCCTGTCCCCAGCCTCCGGGTCGGTGTCCAGCTCCGACATACCTACAGCCTCGACAGAATCTAACAAGACAATACGAGGGGGCATGACCCCAGGCTATACCCCAGGATTGGCTGCCAGGACGCCCTCTTATCCATTTCCACGCATGATGACACCTCATTACTTTCCGTCGGCGCTGAATAGGGCTGCCAGCGGTCAGAGTTATCATGGTGGTCACTTTGATAGTATGGTGCTCCACGACCAGCTTCGTTCGGATCCATCCACACCTGCATCGACCATGACCTTCCAGCCCGCTGGCGCTATTCCACCCCTCGAGCGTGACTTTCCTACACCGAATCTTTACGAGCTAGCATTGATGCTCAGCGCCGAGCCTGGCCTCGATGCCTGGTGGAGCACGGTGATCCAGATTATGAAGCAATATTATAGAGCAGAGCGAGTGACCTTGTCAGTGCCTGCTGATGCCACCGATCTCGAAAACGTTCCTTGGGGCCAAAAGGCTACCTACAATGCCATGGAGGAGGATGAATTCAGTATGGAATACATGGGGCGAAGCAGTCTGTTTCCAGGCAGCATGGATGAAATGTCGGAAATGGCGTCCAACGTCGAAGGCTCCCAGCTTGACGACAAGGTTTTGCGGCCAGATTTGCAAAGCCGACATTCTTTCACATCCTACGAGAATAAAAAGGAGTCGCATACTGTTCAGGCCGCAGAAACGCCGAATGCGGCCCCTCGGCGACCAGCTGCAATGCCTCGCAGCAAGAGTTACTTTCCAAGTGCCGAGAGACGCATGCCAGGCACGCCCCGCCCTGCTTTGAATAAGCAGGCATTGGAAGAGCACGATGCGGTTGAGGGGCAACAAGAACATATTCAGACTTGGGATGCGCCACTTGTCTCCCGGCCTGAGGTGAAAGGCCGGGTGCTTCCTGTTCTGCAGGGACTAGATCTCGAGGCGGATCCCCTGATTGATCACAATGGTATCAAGGGCGTGATTGAGCGCGGCAAAGTTATAGCTCTAACCCGCAGTTACCCCTATCTTGAACCCGTGGTAGAAGAAAAGTCCAAAAAGAAGCCCAAGAAGCCCACACGACCCGAGATGACCACCAAATTGTCTTCGTTTCTTGGAACTGCTGCCACAGGCTCGCGGCCCCCTATTCACAGCAAGAAGACAGTCGGAGGCGACAGAATCTCCAAGCGTGCTGATCTCCTTTCAGTCTTGAATGACGAAGAACCTCGTCCTCCAACACCACGCTACGAAGAATACGAGCAGGCACCCCCATCTCCATGGTCACAGTCCCCTGCACCGTCACCTGCTGTCCGGGCAGATCCGGCCGAGAACCCATTCTTCACTGACGCAATGGTGGACGAGGACTCTTTCAACCCGGGGCCCAGTCCACATGACTATACTGATATCCAGCCACCCGAGACTATCGGCGTTGACAATTCTTGGACTGTGCTTCATATTCCACTGAAACATATCCTACTATCGAAGCCGGCTGGAACCTTCAAGCTGAGCTCAGCAGCACTGGCACAGAAGACCGCAACTCGTGGGCGGCAGGACGGGACAGACTCTGGATTTTCTGAACGCCCAGCTTCGGCTGACTCTCTCAAGGACAAACGCCAAAGCCCCATTGCCATACTCTCCATCTTGAGCCCGCTGATTCCATATCCTTCAAACCTACGCTATTCTCTAGAGCATCTCGCACCTCATCTCGCAACATCGTTCTCGTTGTGTCGCCACTATACGAATCTGGAGACTGAGGTAGCTGGTCTGCAGCGCAAGAGGCCACCCACAACTGGATTTGGAGCTCTCGGACCAGATGGACGCCCTCTTGCCGATCCTGTACTATTCTCTCGGTTAAAATATGCTTCGTCTGAGCATCCGTCTCAGTTTTCTATCGGTGGAAGTATAACGAGTCCGAGCGATACCTCGGGAGCAGCGCGAAGCGCTGCGAACTCGCCTGGCGCATCCTCCAGCTGGGATCCGAGCTCTTTTGGTCTGGTCGTAGAAAGGCGAACAGCGAGTAACAGCCCAGGATTGGCCGGCGGCGAAGGGTATTTCGGAGCGGTTGTACATTCCAACACCATGGGCCATGATGGCACGCCGCGTACACCTGGACTCCGACCCGCACGAACCATCAAGGATACCCCATTATCCAACGAGCGCTCACAGGGTGCAGCAGGTGGCAGTGCGAACATTCGACCTTCTACACCAGGCGCCGGTGGCATTGCGGATTTGTCAAGTATTATGCATACTCCTGATGAGAAAACCCCCCAACTTTCGTCAGCCCCGCGAACAAGTACAAAAGCTGGTGGACAGCTAGACATGAGTGGTGAGCGTGGACAGAGCAGTCAACGGCATACCAAACTGCACTCATATGGAGCTGACTTTGCCACGACCTTCCAATCATTGCCTTCGGGCACATATGTCAACCAGACCCCTGGACTGGAGGATAAAGTCAGCATGTTGCCACCATCTGATAGGTTGAAGGGACTCATGCTGGATTCCCTGCCAGCTCATGTGTTTGTAGCATTGCCAAGCACGGGAGAGATCATGTGGGTCAACAGCAGATATCTCTCCTATAGAGGCCAAACGGTTGCCGACCTTATCGTAGACCCTTGGGGCTCTGTTCACCCAGAAGATCGCGACGGATACATTCACAAGTGGACTCATTCGCTTCGCACTGGAGAACAGTTCGCATACACGGTACGCTTGCGGCGTTTTGATGGTGTCTACCGATGGCATCAAGCCCGTGCAATCGCCTCCAAGGATAAGCGAGGAGTTATCGTGCAGTTCATCGGCTCGTATATGGATATTCATGACCAAAAGGTTGCCGAACTGGTGGCTGCTCGCCAAGAGGAAATAGAGGCGTCCGAAGCAAAGCATCGCCTTCTAGCGAACCTGATTCCTCAGATTATCTTTGCTGCTACCGAGGAGGACGGTATCACATTCGCAAATGAACAATGGCTTTCCTACACTGGACAGAGTTTCGAAGATTCCCTGGGGGTTGGTTTCATTGACTTTGTTCACCCTGAGGATCTGGCCAAGTGTAGGTTGCCGTCGGAAAAGCACACGGCCAAATACTTCGAAACTTCCATGCCTGGCGCAAAGACATCGGCCACAGCCACACCCACCAGAGCTGGCAGTTTCGGAACTCATTTGACGCAGGGATCTCTGTCTCGCAAGAACTCGAGCAGTGGCTCGAGCTCCTCGTTGTCATCCACGGATCTCGATGAACTGGCGCGAAAGGGTATCATCAAGGTTGCTACCGATAGCACAGGACGGCTCTCATATACTACGGAGCTTCGACTCCGATCCAAGACTGGCGAATACCGCTGGCATCTGATTAGATGCGTCGAGATCAACAATATCAATTTCGGCACCGGCGAGAGCTCCTACTTCGGTTCTGCCACCGATATCAACGATCACAAGCTACTTGAAGCCAAGCTCAAGGAGGCTATGGAGTCCAAGTCTCGCTTCCTCAGCAATATGTCGCATGAGATTCGGACGCCTCTGATTGGAATTTCTGGCATGGTAAGCTTCCTCCAGGACACGATACTCAATGAGGAGCAGAGGGACTACACGAATACAATTCAGACAAGCGCAAACAGCCTGCTCATGATTATCAACGATATTCTTGATCTTTCCAAGGTTGATGCGGGCATGATGAAGCTCAACTTCGAATGGTTCCACACTCGATCCCTCATTGAGGATGTCAACGAGCTGGTTTCCACCATGGCCATTGCCAAACGACTGGAGCTCAACTATGTTGTGGAACAAGATGTGCCCTCCTGGGTGAAGGGTGACAAGGTTCGAATCCGCCAAGTGCTTCTCAACGTTATAGGCAACGCCATCAAGTTCACTAGCCAAGGCGAAGTCTTCAGTCGTTGCAAAGTTATACAGCGTCAAGAACGCGATGAGCACTCCATTATATTGGAGTTTTCCATTATTGACACTGGTCGAGGCTTTACTAAAGAAGAGTCGGAGCTCATCTTCAAGCCTTTCAGTCAAATCGATGGAAGCAGCACCCGCCAACATGGTGGAAGTGGATTGGGGCTGGTGATTTCACGACAACTTGTCGAACTGCACGGCGGCAAGATGGACGGCTCTGCAGTGCCAGGCAAGGGTTCAACATTTACCTTTACAGCCAAATTCGGCCTTCCCACAGCATCGGATCATCCCGGTGTACCGCTCTCACCGCCCGCGGCGCCTGTACAGCAAAAGACTGCGGAACAACATGTGTCACCGACACTGACAGCCCAACCGTTCTCGTCACAAAAGATTGCGGAACTGTCATCCAGGGATAGTCCCTCTTCGGATGCGAGTCTTGTATCGCCTGAACTCACGTCTTCAGCCGGTTCTGATCCCTCGATCCGCTCGGCGCGGTCACAAATTACTACGGCGTCTTCTACATCGTCCGCCAATGCTGGTCTGGCGCATTTCAGCGAAGCAGCCAAGGCTAGTGGTCAAGATCTGTCCCAGATGAAGCTCGAGATGCCCCTTGCTGGACTTTCTATCAGTGACACACCGACGCCAGACCTGTTGAGATTTTCTGCAAAGATTGATCAGTTTAGACCTCCGATGTACTCAATTCTCATCATCTGTCCGCAGACTTTCAGCAGGGAAGCTACGACGAAACATATTGAAATAACACTGCCCAAAGATGTGCCTCACCAGATCACAGCATTAGCTACTGTCGAAGAGGCTCGAAAGTTGATAGGAGGGGAAGAGTCGGTCACCTTTACGCACATTGTCCTCAACCTGCCTTCTGCCGAGGAGATAGTCAGAGTCATGGAAAGAATCAAGGCTTCCTCAAGTGGTAAGACCACAGTCCTTGTTCTTTCTGATTCTCTGCAACGCCAAGCTGTCATCAAACTCGCTTCCGAGAATGGCCACCCAGAGCTTCTTGAAGGCAACTTTGCCACCTTCATCTACAAGCCAGTCAAACCGTCACGGTTTGCCGCTGTCTTTGATCCAGCAAAACTGCGAGATCTCAGCATTGACCGGAATCGCTCGAGTGCTGCACAGATGGTGGAGACTACACGGCAAAGTTACATTGATATTGAGAAGCGGATTGGCAACAAGGGCTATAAGGTGCTGCTCGTCGAAGACAATCCGGTCAATCAAAAGGTCCTTGTCAGGTATCTCAAGAAGGTTGGTATCGTGGCAGAAATTGCCAACGACGGCGTTGAGTGTACGGAGAAGGTCTTCTCCCGGCCACCCGGATTCTACAAGCTTATATTGGTAAGTGCTCAACATCGCCGCCGCGCGAGAACTTCTGAAGCTAATCAGATTTATAGTGCGACCTTCACATGCCTCGAAAGGACGGCTATCAAGCTTGTCGCGACATTCGAGCGTGGGAGAAGCAGAACAACCATAGTAGACTGCCCATCATTGCCCTGTCAGCCAATGTCATGTCCGACGTCCAAGAGAAATGTGTCGAGGCCGGTTTCAGCGACTATGTCACGAAGCCTGTCGACTTTGTCGACTTGAGCACGGCCATGTCCAAATTCTTTTGATGTGTGTTCAATTAATATCAACATTGCATCCACCGTACCACATGCCTGCAAATACACGGAGCAAGCAACCAAATGCATCTTCTCGGCGTTTCAATGGTCAAAAGAAGAAGCGTTATACCACATTATCATTGTACCCCATGGACGGAGTCACTCGGCGGAAAGTCTTTTCATGTTATATAAGGGTTGATGACAGCGGAAAACATTTTTCTTCCTTTTTTTACTTTACATTTCGAGGAATAGAATAGGGAAAGGTTACTCATGATGCTAGAAAGTGTTTCAGCACAATGGTAATCACGAGGGCCATGGAAACATTGTACGCGATATTCCAAGGCATAGTGGCCCATGATACAAAGCAATGACAGCCGCCCCGCGGAGCGCGGAGGGAAATCCAAATGTATAATTGGGATGGAGGGATGGACGAATGGATGGATGAATGGGCTGCGGCAAACTGAATTACAAATGCAAAGGGCTGCGGAGGATGGCGTCGGAGATGATTCTTGGAGATATTTTCCTTGGAGGGGCCGGTCTGGCATTGCCATTTTTTTTATGGTTCCGTTTTATCGACGGATCGATCGATACCTTTTCTTTTCTTTCTCACTTCATGAGGATAACTGTATAGTCGAAACCCCCAAACAATACCATTCCCGACATCATGATGCCATATTTTCTACGATACTACACCATGGCTTTTTCGTCTGCTCCGTCGTCTTGCCTGTTCTAGTGAAGTGTTTCCACATATCCAGCATCACCCGCTACGTATGTTGCCAGAACTGCTCTTGGCTGTTTTCTTCTCATGACCAACAATGGGCCATGATATATATCTAGGAAGCAACCAACCATTGTCATGAAATCGAATCGCCTTGGAGGTAAAAATTGATTAAAATCGGTTTTTAGGTAGCTAGCTGGATCTATGTACCTTCTACCACTAATTATGTGCTTTTCCTATGCCTTTCTAATGACTCCTGCTGTAGAGGTGCTGCCTTTCATGGCTCGCAAGTCACAATAAAAAAACTGCGTGTACCCAAAAATTCCAGTCACGCTCATGGTATGACTTGTAACGCAGTCCCTCGCCATCATTGCAGACCCCCAGACTCAAAATTCGTAGTCGGGCAACTCTTACGCAGTGTCGTGTGTATCATGCTAAACGCCACCAGTGTTGGGAAACAAAACAAGAAAAAAGCAACCCCCTGCTGGTCCCCAATTCAAAGAGCCATACAGATCCTAAACGCCGTTACTGTGATGAGTTTGAGATATTCCATCCCTTTCCATTTCGTTCATGACGCTCCATTCTGGTCATCAACGACTCCGATATATCATACACACTAATGTACACAAACTCGCCAGGCTGCGAGCAACTCATCAAGCGTTCTGGTCGACAGTCTTGGCGGGTTTGTAATTTGGCAGCTCGTCAAACCAGCCTTGCTGCTCGTTGTATTTGTAGGCATGGAATTCGATGCCATATGGTTTTGGCTCGATTGCATAGAGCATGCCAAGGGGGACGTCGAGATCGGCAATGTCATCCCGTGTGAGGTCCATGAAATATGCCATCAGTACCCGGCACACGGACCGATGACCGATGATGACAAGGTGATCCTTGATGCGTTCGATCTCGCGAACCATGTCCCTCAGCTTGCTTATTATCTGAAGATATCCTTCACCACCGACGCCAGGATAGACATAGTGTAGCTTGTCGGTTTGTCGTCTATGATACTCATCCGAATGGGAGCGAGCAATATCTTCGTACGTCAAGCCCTCGAACTTGCCTGCGTTCAATTCGTTCAGCATTTCAAAGGCCTTGGTGTCGTAATCATCGTCTGCTTCGAAATACTCCGCTGTCTGGATACTCCGCTTGAGCATCGACGTCCAAACGCACGTGTTCTTCTCGTCCAACTCCCGGTTCATTTCGGGATAAGGAGGCGACCTATCACCGGGCAGCGGTGGGAAGGTCGATTTAGCAAGCTTGTTCTTTGCCTCGACCAACCATTGTTGTCGTTGGTATGTGATGAACTTGTACAGCGCATGTGCGTAGAGATGCCCGCGTTCAGTTAGCTCTGAGTTACCGCCAATCTTTCCAAGCTGGTTGTCCACAGATTGGCCATGTCTTGTGATCCAGATTTGCCTAGGAGCCAGGTTGAATGATGAGAGATAGTGGGCGATGCCACCAGAGAGAAAGCCCTCAAGACCGTAATGAGTCAGTTTCTTGCCAACGTCAATCATCTATGGCATGAGTTAGCATTTTACTTGGGTACCTAGGCACGGGAGCTTGGACAGGGGGAGGCCCACCTTGATGTACTGCATCTCATGTTCCTCTTCATAGTCACCCAACGGCACGTAGGCACTCTCGTACTGTTTGACACGGGCTTTGAAGTCCTCGAGAGACTTGACGGGGTCCTTGTCCCTATAGTCTGGTCCTGATAGCTTGAGGCGCATATTTGCTTCCAGAATCTATTGATTCGGTACGATTAGCACTTGATCCAAGATATGACAAAGTTTCGATAGCAGGCCTACATTTGGGTTCTGGCACACACTCTCAATAAAGAGGATGCCTAGCTTTGGCTCTCTTGCCTTGATGTGATCAAAGAGTCTCTGGCGACGTTCGATGGTGCTGTTTGTGGCATCAAGAATTCCAACGGAGCCGCCTCCAGTAAGTAGGTAGTCCAGCAGCTCATCCAGCGTATCAATAGCAAGCTGGTCTCGGATCTTGGAGCCTTGCGGGTTCTTGGGGTCGAAAAAGTTGGCCGACTGATCCACGCGGGATGCATTCTTCGGGTCATCAAGGCTCCAATCCGAAGGCTCCGTGTGCGTTTTCTCTTGCGGTGGTGGTTCGGTTTTGGCTTCCTTGCCGTTCAAGAGGATTTGAGCGACCTGTGCATGCGTGTCCATGGGGTTTTCGTGTTTTTGCTGGACGGGCGAATGTACGTCAACTGCAATACGTCTCCTGTTTCCGACATTGAAAATTCTAGTGTTATGCTGTTGCCATGAGAGGTAGCGCTTGATCTTCTTGGTGATGTACGACTTGCCACGGGCTGGCAGACCAACCATGATGATGACGAGCTTGGCGGCGACATCACGATCTGCAATTTTTCCATCTGGGGATATAGTCGACTTGGTCATGCCAGGGATGTTGAGCGTTGTAGCATGAGGACGTACTCTCGGAGTCTGCGTACCAGAATTCTGTCGGACGGGTGGGATTCGAGGCGAGGCAGGCGCCGTGGAGGAGATACTCTTGGTGTAGGGAGAGTCATTGGGCGGAAGGCGATCTTTCAAGGACAGCTCGTTGGTGCCATCGTTGACAGCCCTCAATGCTTGTGCAAGAGAAGCCGGGTTAGGTGGCGGGCGATGCTCTGCGGATGTCGGCGGTGCGCCTGGAGGAGCCATCAAACCCGTCGAATCACTCGAGGTCTTGGACGAGATTGAGGTTCCGCGAGACCTCTGTTGTCCATCTTTGATCACATCATTGGGCTTGGATACATATCCAGTGTCTAGGTTTGTAGGAGTTGTCGCGTAGGATCGCGACCCGGACTCTGGGATCGATCTGGGAATACCTGCATGAGAAGTTGGGGCAAGGTTCTTGTCGGTCTGATTGGCCATCGCTTGCTGGGTTTGTGTCAGAAGCTGGGGCGTCTTCTGTCTGCGGGCAGCTTGGAGATCTGCAGGCCAAGCGCAACGAAGTCAGCTATAAAAGATATGTTGTACGTGTGGAAGAAAGAGAACAATTGTCTGGATATGCAAAACAATTTTTCAAGAAAAAAAAATAAAGAGCCCAAAGTGAGTTGATGAGATGATGAGCGCGACGCGACACAACTGATTTGTCCTCGACTCGGTGGTGGTAGGAGGTCTGAGTAATTTTTTCTCTTCCTTTGGTCGAAAGCTTTACTCTCTTGGAAAAAAAAAAAGGTAGGATCGGACGGGGCAGTACATAATAGATTTGGAGGGGCGATATGGGCGGCGCAACGGTAATAGTGGTAGTACGTAGTACGATTAGTCCATTACCGCAAAGTCAATGCTGACCTTTCATGCCTTGCAAGTTGCAGCTCCCGGACCGTGCGGACACTTGTCTGACCAGGGCCCCATACCACATAGGGCTAAGAATGGTAATATGATGGCTTGCAGCTGAGAGAGATAGGAACGTACCTGCTGTGAGTTTATGGGCCTGGTACGGGGAAGGCAGCGAGGGCTCGATGCCAGGCGACAGACCAAAGACTTGTTGTCGTTGTTCGGGTGTATTGAGGTGATGGTGATGACCGATCCGTCTAGCGACCGCAGGCTGTGACATATCTTTTGGCACAGGGTGAGAAGGGGGAGAAAAAAAATTCAGGGTCTCTCTTGCCTCTACAGACAGGTAAGGTATGTAGTGCAGGCTGGCTGGTAGTTAGGTAGGTAGCGTAGGGTTAGATAGGCGGTTTCTTCTTGCTCCGAGCTCCACCAGCGCCGGTCGCGGCAGAAGCGATTCGGGGGCGCGAGCAGGGATCCGCAGCAGCGTTGAGGTCAGTGAGGGTCCTGTTTTGTCCTCTAAAAGCCAGAGCCCGCTAAAAAAGGTGGTCCGCAATTGGGAAGTCACCGAATGGTTCGTGGGCCGGCCAGCTAATGTATGAATGGCGCACTCGGGTCCCAGCAGTTACGTCGATGGCGCGTTAGCGAATGCAGTGCGCCCAGTAATGTCTTTTTATGAACCAGAAACCCTGTTGTGTTGTTGCTGCTAGGTACTCGTGTGGCAGTCAAGATTGGCAAATTGGCGGCTGGGCAGAGACTGGATGGCAGCTTTATAGGAATTGTGCTTGCTGCTACCTTCAAGGTTGTTGTAATGTAGACTCAGATTCGGTGTCCGGCGTCCGACTTTAACGTAAAGGACTGACTGGAGGTGGCCGCGAGTACCTTATATTGTAGGTAAGGAAATAATGGTGGTATGTATGTGGGTATGTAGGAGGACAACAGGTAGGTAGGTAATGTAGTCCGCGTATCTCGAGCGCTGCGGTCTGCCTGCCTATGTAGGCAATGTACACCACAGAAGGGAATACTAGTGGACTGACAAGACCTACTACTATCTCCGTGCCCACTTGTTATTCCCAGCCGCGCTGTAGAGATGTACTTTGCAGAGAGAATCGAAAGGGGAAAGAAAAGAAGAGGCCGATGGGACGAGGGTGGAATGCTTGATGACGAGAAAGACCGTCGTCGGCAATACTGGTATTTCAACTTGCACCCCTGCGGACGGCTTTATTGTGATGTATGACCCGCTCGCTCCAAGCCTTTGGGTTTTGTTTTTATGTTTTTTTGTGAGTAACTGTCAGTGCTGAGTTGGGCCCTTGACTGTGCGCGATCCAATACAAAAGCCTATCGGCCTCGAGTCGTGGGTCAGAATCGCTTCGGCCGGGTCGGTCCTATCTCTGGATGCAATGTTGTATGCAGCCTTGGCAGCAATCTTGTAATGAGTGCAGGAGCACTAAACAAGAGTGCTACCTACTGCACTGTAATGTAATGCCAGTAGGTAGGTAGGTAGGAGAGGGGCCTGCGTAACCCTGAGTATCTGGGTCTCAGCGCTGTGAGCACCTGGACTTCAGCCTATCTTCTTTGTGGCCCTCAACTGTTGGATGGTTCCGCGCCTTGGCGAAACTGAGAGAAACACAAACAGTAAGACGCCGTCTTGGCTGATCGGCAGCTCCCTTTTCGCCCTTTTGATATAGGTAGTTGAAAATCGAATTCTGGAGCTTGTCGAAACTGGTATACGACACTGTCAGTTGCACATGTCTCAGGAACCAGGTCCCAGATAAGTCCGAGGCCACCGGAAGCCCAAGGCGCGCTCGCCGTCACGATTGACACCGTTTTTGTATGCAAGGTAGTGTTGCTCGTCTCATACAAGTGCTACTGCGTTTCTCTCGTCATGTTTCGAGTTCAGGATGGCAGAAAAAGTTATGCGCGTGTTGAAGAAGATACGGCTTCTATGAATAAACACCATAGGCCGGATGAGACGCATGAACTTTCATGAGCTCGACTTGGAGTGTAGTGACTGCTGTGATTTATTGAGGGAAAAGGTTGTTTGCTTATGGTTTGTCCTGTCTGGACAGATGCAGGTTGCGAGCCTTGCTACTTTATCTATGTACTGTCTCAATAAGCATGGGGAACGGATTCATTACTGCCTCCAACCTTCACATTACACACCCTTGAGCTGGTGGCTTATTTGACACCTCGACGAGCGCCGTAGGCGGAGGAGCATTTGTGCTGGGCCCCCACACGCACTACTTACTCAACCAGATTGGGTAATTTTCCTCCCACCTAGCTGGCCACTGCCAAACGAAGCGTGCAAAACTCTCGTCGCCCATTTGTTCAACTAATATTATATGTTGCTTGCTTTCATTGCCAACGAACATTCCAGCACTCATTGCTAGAAACATTGAAGCATCCAACCAAGACGTACTTTCGTCATTGCAATGCCCCTTTTGTACCACGGTGCCATGTTTTGACATGATACCTCACGATGCCAAGGCAGGCTTGGCTACCTGAGCTGTTCATCCTAATCTCGAGCTCAATATATCCTACCTATCGTGGGTACCTTACTCTGGGCGTTCTGAGCAACGCTGCGACGAGCTCAGACTGTACCAGACCAAGACCTGGCGATTACGTGAAATTGCCGGAGATCCGGTAGGCAAATGGTCCTACTGCCTCCGTCTCGTGCGGCATGTTAGTTTGGTAGTGTCGGTGGTCAACCATCATCCGCAGGAACAGATGCGGAAACTCTATCGGGGTCTCCTCTCCACATGATGCACTCCTCCCCCAGATGATAGGGAGAAGCTTGCTTGCTAGCCACGTAATCTTATTTGTTAACTGTCTATGGGAAACTCTGAGCTCGAATACATGAGATTTCAGTAACTCGGTAAGGGGAAGGATGACTCACTGAAGCAAATGTTCCTCCTTTGCTACAGCGACAATGAAGCGTGGGCACACAGATCAAAATGCGCACATTACCTGAGTGGCACGGAGTCCGATCTATAGGCAGATCATATTTGACGAATGAGACGACGAGAATGCCCAATGTGGTATCATCAGCCAATCGCAAGCATCGAGACACTTGGCACCACGCATCAATCATACATAGTAGTCTTGCTCGGCTGGCAAGAAAGAACGGGCTAAACCAGATGATGATGACTTGTCTCTTCCAACATAGGCCTGGAACTTTGGATTCTGCATCTTATCAAGGTTTAGCCATGAAGTGTCCAGGCAATTTTCACCTATAATGCAATGCTCCAGACCCGGCTTTACTGAAGCAAAGTATCGCCGTCGCGGGGTCAGCCGCGCAGTTTCACTCTTACCCCTAGACTATCATACCTTTCATTCCATCATTGGAGAGACGAGACATATCTCCCATGACTTGATAATTGTAGCAAGAACCCGTCAGATGCAAAGTGTGGACTAATTCATCTCGTTATCTATTTTCATGACAACACTTCTACGGATGATGCATTGACACCCATAATATGCTGTAGGTAGTAGCTAATCCCATGCGATAAGGCAGGCTGGCGACTTTCTCATGTAGTGGCTTACGGTGGAGCTTGCCGCGGAACACTTGAACGACTGCCTACGATATACTTAATTAAGGTAGATACCTACCTATTTATGTACAGTATCCTGACCATGAGACGAGGAAATGTGCTCTAATCCAGCTCAATCGAGTACAAATTTCATATACTACCACGCAGACATGCTGTGCAGGTAATTTTGGCATCGCCTCAAACTGACATGGTGCATGCACATGGGAGATAATGTAGATAGCCTGGACCAGCTTGCATCAGCACGCCCTGCTACTGCAGTGCAAAAGAGATCATCATAGGTACAGTAACGATCCAGGTCTGGGAATTAGGGTCGTCCCTATGTATCCTCAGTCAAGCCAGCGCAGTCTGGAGAGCACATGCACCTTTGGTGGGTGCCTTGGAGGTCAAGAATTTTCCATCGAAGGGGAGCAACAGCGACCGGCGCAATGAGCAGCAGGACAATTGAGATCTGGTACAGACCTACATAACTTGAAGCTGCCTTGGCTGCTAAGCTACATATGTACCTGCTGACATCACCCAAGTCTGGCCCAAAGCTGGAGCTCAATTGCTGTCATTGGTGGTGTCAATACCTCCCATGCAGGGTCCTCTTAGCCCAAAGTAGAAGACCCACTTTAAAAGTCAATTGTGCCTTCCACCACGATGTTGCACGATCAAGAAGGACGGCACTCAATCCATGCACATCACACCTACCTCCAGCAATCGCCGAGAGCTATTGTCAATAATCGTCCCAGACCCCCCCCGCCAAACTTTTCTTGCTCAATACCTAGGCAGTCTCACTGGGAAAGAAGAATCAAACAAGCTTCTCTGCGATTCCTACCAGCGATTGCCTATGGATCAGGTTTGGCGCCGACTTCCCGCAGAGACGCCGTCATCAGTTCCAGAAGTTCTGAAGAAAAAAATCGCAACGAGCTTCTTCACCTTCCCCATCGTCACAGGGTCAGCATTCCACCTCCCCACCAACCATTGATCTCGCTGGCTGAGGTGCTTGCCAATCTTGTTCACTGCCCTCCCCGACGACCAAGAAAACAACAAACAAGGCATTCTTCGAGGTACTGCGCCAACTCCCCACGCTGTGACAAGGATCCATCACCACCTCTTCCCATTTGCGCCTGAGTAGCACCATCATCAGTCCATCATTGCCCGCCGCTTCGTCTTGGAAAATTGCCTTTTATAGTGTCGTGTCTTACTACAGTTGGCCTATTCTCAGGCTCTGTACTTTTGCACTGGTAAGTTCACTCAACAACTTCACCATTCTGTCTGCTCTTGACGACTCTTTCCGCAGAACACCAACTGACCGTCACCACCCAGCGCAACCTCCGTTCTGCTATGGAACAGAGCCTTGGCTGACTTCCTGGTTCAGAAGGCATCTGCTTCTCCCCCACGTCCACTCCGACCGAAGGATAACGGAGGTCTTCCACCATCTTGGGTGCCACCACTCAGCTGTCCAATGCGAAAGATTCATTCTCCGTAAACACAGCTTAGAACTTTGTTGTCGGCCATACAAAGCATAACCCCACGTCATACGATAGCAACCGCGCTGCACTACGGCCCTTGAGACCTTGCTTCGTCAGAGGAAGAAGAAGAAGAATAGCCGAGGGCCGGGTCTTCTTGCTTAGGTATACGCTATGGGCGATTCCATGAAGGAAGTAGTCGAGACGCTCGACCCTGTCGCGCGACAGATTATTCCTCAAAATATCTATACTGGCACTCTCGTCCCTCTCAAGACCACTCTGGAACTTCGAGACAACCTCTCTGTCGGCTATGCATATGTTACGCGAGCACCGACTAGATTTACTAATGATGTCGTCAAGTAAGCCAATGCGGCGTCCAAATGATACTTGATCACGGCTTTCAAATGCTAATCGTTGTCATAGTGTTGTCAGGTCCCTAGTCGGCGATGATCAGGCTAAGAACCTCCCTCATCTTCGACGATGCACCAAACCAACAGATCTACCATCTCATCTCAAGAACAAATTCATGAATGATGGCACTACAGGAAGGACAATACACACCGGAAAGTCCCAGTACCTCTATATCTTGCTCGGCCCTGAACAGGAAATGAACTACGAAGATCTTCTGAAAGGACTCTCAGCCATCCCTGGCATTGGTGATGACATCTTCGTCGGCCTGATTCCTGTCCCGCTTCTGGCTCCCACTTCTCAAGTTCAAGCAAACCTGTGGTCGCAGCAATTCTGGCAGTGCGTTTATCGCAAAAACAACCCGCTTGGTCCGCACCCCAGCAACATTTGCCGCACTACAAGTGTCGTGGCTCGTGATGCTTCGGTCTGGATGAATCTTGCCCACCAAATCGCTAGAAAAACCCAGAAGGCAGGCTTTGGTGAGCCCATCGGCGCCGTCATCATCAAGCGCACGATTCCGTCCAAGCCTGATCAGATCAAAATCGAAGGCAACAAGCCTGATGGCAACGCTTCGGATGGCGGTGTCGAGGCCATTCAAGGCGATACATCAGATACTGGAGAGACCAAGTCAGAGGATGGTAGAAAGCCCGACAGGTCAGCAGACGATGACTTGCGCGAAGGACCTGAAGAGAAGGAAAAGGTGGAAATTGTTGCCCTGGCGGGCGATGCCCGTTGGCATCAGCAGGGAAGAACAGGCCGCGACGGCAACCCGATGGCTCATGCAGCTCTGCGTGCCATCAGCATGGTTGCACAAAAGCTAGTCCGGGCTGAGAAGCGCGAACCTGCTCAATCAAACCCAATCCTTGAATTCGAAGCATTTCAGGACGGCCCAATCTTAAGTGATGAGCAGGTTGTCTTCGATGCAGATCACCCATCTCCAGACGGCTATCTCTGCCACGATCTGGAGCTGTACATGACACATGAGCCGTGCACCATGTGTTCCATGGCCATCTTGCACTCGCGCATGGGCCGAATTGTATTTCGACATCGTATGCCGTTGACTGGCGGCATGGGCTCCGAGGATCGTGGTTACGACCTTTGCGGCGGCGACAACACTTGTGAGAATGGTCCTTGTGGAGGCGGTCAGGGACTGGGCCTTCACTGGCGCAAAGAGCTCAATTGGAGTATGCTAGGATGGGAATGGGAGACCGATGAAGCAGACAGCCTGCCTGTCAACAGTCATCTCCATGCTTGATTACATCATCCTCAAGAAGCAGCATGGCTTCGATGCCAGCCGTTATATCACCCTTCCGCGAAGGCCTTTTGGCCTCCTAATGCATAAGAAGCATCAGCATTGGCGTTTGTGATTTTCAAGCAGAGGAGTTAGGTATTCCTCTTTTGGTGTTGGTATTACGAGATAAGTCAACATGAGCATTGGATTTTGGGACGTTTCTATTCTTGCGGGGTGGATGAAAGAGTACATCAACAAGTCACCGCCTGGCATTCATGTCCCATGTATAATATGTAGAACGCCTCCCATGGCTTGGGACGAATGGCCACAATCATCTGGCCATGCAATATGCGAGAAGGGCTTTGATGGTACACCAGGCAGTTTATACATAGATGCAGATGATTGCTGGACGAACTCAAGTTTCTGCACACAAAATAAGATCTTATAAACGAAGCCAGCCGTGTCCTAGCGCCCATCATACGTAGCGCCTGCGATCTAGAAACGGTATGCTTTACGTATATTATGTACAGCGCACTGGGGTTCAACGACGTCACAAATAGTGGAATGCTTTAGGAACGACATATTCAAGGTACCGAGCTAGTAGTAAGACAACGGACAGGAGTAAGGACGATAGGACGAATCGTAGATACCTAGTACCTACTATATGTTGGTTGTGTGTGTAATGTAGCTCGTAGGGGTCCTGGGGCTTCGTCGCGCGCTAATAATTACGCACTATCTTATCGCTTGGGGTCGGGAGGCGCGAATCCCTGCGCTGCTATTACGCAACGCCCGTAAGGAATAGAGCTTCAGAGGGACGATGCACCACATAAGGCGCCCCCCCCCCCCTCTTCTCTCTCGTCCAGACCAAGAAAACAGTCCCAAACGGAGGGGGAAAAAAAAAGTAACCCACCAAAACCTGCTTTGCTGGTCCTCTCCCTGACCGCTCATCGTGAAGAAATTCTTTCTTTTCTTTATCGGCCAGGGCACATGAGAAACATCCCCGTTTTGAACATCAGGACCCTCGGAAGCGCATCGCCAATCTCTGCAGCAGCGTCCAGACCCCGTCTCCAAAAGAACAAAGCCTTCGGTTTCGCAGTCAAACCTGCACCCCGCTCGACTTTTGGACGTGTCGGATTCTCCAGCGCAGCAGCCTGCAGATCGCCCGCAACCAACAGTTTGACCGAGACTATAAAACAGATACTTGGTCCCCTCTTTGACAAGATGCCGCCCAGCAAGAAGCGCAAGATGGACGACGACGTACCCAAATTTTACGCCGTCCGCAGTGGCCATGAGCCCGGCGTCTATTTGACCTGGCCAGAATGCCAGGAACAGATTTCCGGCTTCAAAGGCGCACAATGTAGGTCGCCAGCAGTCTCTTCGTCTTGAAAGTGTCCAGATCCTCATTTGGCTAATGCTGAGTGTACAGTCAAAAAATTCGACAACGAGGAAGATGCCAACGACTTCGTGGCAGGCAGGCCAGTAAAGAACACTGCTCCCGATCCCAAGAAGCCACCCAAGTTCTACGCAGTGGCCATTGGTCGCGCACCCGGTATCTATAGTGAATGGACCGAGGTACAGAAAGCGATCAAGGATTGGAAAGGCGTCAAGCAACAGAGCTTCAAGACACGTGCCGAGGCGGTCCAGTACATTCAAATATACGGCGACGAAGCCGGCCAAAAGTCCATCGAGAATGAAGTGTCGATTGAGCCTCCGTCCAAGAAGAGCAAGACGAGCAAAACAAACAAGCCCATCGCGGACAGCGTCTTGCACATTTACACAGACGGCAGTAGCCGAGGAAACGGCAGGACTGGGGCCGCAGCAGGAGTGGGAGTCTTCTTTGGGGAGAATGACCCAAGGTTTGTGCTTGTTTAGTTTCCGCCATACCACGAAAATACGCACCAGACTTACAACACACCAGGAATATCTCTGAGCGCCTCCGGGGCGAGCCGCAAACAAATCAACGTGCTGAGTTGACTGCCATCTTGCGCGCACTGCAGAGGGTCTCGGTGGACCAAGATATCCAGATACATACCGACAGCAAGTACTCCCTCAACTGCATTACCGAGTGGTACAGAGGCTGGGTGACCAAGGGCTGGAAAACGCAAGGTGGAGAAGACGTGAAGAACAAGGATCTAGTCCAGGCCATCAGAGCCAAGATTGACGATCGTGATGCTTCGGGAACAAAGACCTTGTTCCAGTGGGTGAGGGGCCATGGAATCACGACTGGAAATGTCGAGGCCGACAAGCTCGCGGTTAGAGGCTCTGGGTTTGCAGCGGTTGACTAGTCAGTGTGTAAGGTGAATGAGAGCCGGTGGAAGCAAGTCCATCCAGAGAGGTATTGCCACTACCTCGTGTATTCTGTTGAAAGACGATACAGCAACGATGCCTCATGTTTAGCCGTAAAGGAGGAGGATTACAACACCAGATACCCAACTTTTTTTGATCTTCCAATCAGCGCAGTCTCAGCCCGGATAATTGAGAGGGTCACAATATTATTCATGGGTCAAGCAAATGCCCTTCAGGAAGTTTTTTCATATATACTATTGGCTCGTCTAGCCTCCAATGTATAAATATTCGCATTGGTCAATGAGTTGGTAGCCCGACTTGACTTGTAATGCGTATTCGACCGATATCCTATAGACGGACGTTAGTTACCTTTTTTATATGGGGCCTGCGTAAATTTTGATACCAACTGCGTGAGATATATTTACCTGCACACCAGGGCAACTGAAAAGAGATTCATCTATGCCGCCGATGCACATGATGTCAATTAGTCTCAAGGTCACTGCCGCCGCGCAAGCCGCTCGTCGTGAGGAGGCGGGTAACTAAGACGGCGCTAAAAAGCACCCCACGACTGCTGTACATTAGCAGAAGATAGCTGCGATAAGATCCCGAGGTCCCTACATCAGGTCGGTCAACACTATTGCGCTTCCCCGGATCGGGACCGGACTGCATACTGGGTCAGGCGGTATCCTCCGCATCACGACTCGAGGTTTTTTTTTTTTTTTTGCTGCTTCTTCTTCTTCTTTTTCTCCCCTCGCCCAAGCATCGCAACACAGAGATTTGCGCAGCTTACACCTTTCGAATCCCGAGTGTCGTATCGTGTACTTTGACTCTCGCCTAGAATCTCTTTTCACTGAGTTTCAGGGTTCTACCCCACGCGTACGTCGTCAGACGTTACACGAATTAATCCCTACCTAGAGATAGCAGTCCAACCTCACACCTACATACTACTGCCCGCAACGAAGCCTTGAGGATCGAAACTCTACATTTAGAAAAGCAAATCTTCTTTGAGCCTTGCCATATAGCAAGGTGGCGTTCAAGCGGTCGTACACTAACTCCCATGTCCTGCCAAATGATTCAATAACATTTGTTCAATTCCCGCCGGCAGTATGTATCTCCAGAGTTTTGTCCCTTGTCGTCGTTAGAACCATATCTGGGATATAACGCACACCCATTATTGATATTTGTCATGGAATGGAGAGAATCTTTGCTGACTTGTGCTCGTAGTATCATTGCCTGCCTGCCTTGCGGACTTGCAAGGACGATTCTGGTGTCACCTAGTTGACGAGCCGAATCTTAAAATACGTATCTGGGTAGCCAAGAAACGCTTACGTCGAGCATCAAGCATTAGCCAAGATGCCGACTCTAGCAGTCACCAACTTTAACATAGTAGTCTCCTTCCTTGGTGGCTTCATCAGCATCTTTGGTCTGGTGTCGTACCTATTGAAGGAGAACTTTTATATGTCCGAAGCCCGTGAGTGAATCCTGGGGGACATCATGTGCCCTGCATCCCACGGGCTATTCTTCTCTGCCGGAAATTGAACAAGCTGTATCACGGCGATGCTAATAGAGACTGCAGTGATATCCCTTTTGGCTGGTGTGGCATTTTCCCCTCATGCCGCGAATCTCATACGGCCTGTGGAATATGCTCTTGGGAGCGAGGACAATGTCAATGCTATCACGCTCGCATTCTCGCGCCTGGTACTCGGGGTCCAGCTAGTTCTAGCTGGAATTCAATTGCCAAGTCGCTACCTTAAGAAAGAATGGAGATCTCTCAGTCTTCTCCTAGGTCCTGTCATGACAGTCATGTGGTTGATCACCAGCCTCTTGATTTGGGGTTTCGTACCCAACCTGCCCTTCCTCCATGCTCTCGCCATCGGCGCTTGTGTGACCCCTACCGATCCTGTTCTTTCCAACGTTATTGTCAAGGGAAAGTTTGCAGATAGCAATGTGCCCAAGGAGCTGCAGAAAATCATCATTGCCGAATCTGGCGCCAATGACGGACTTGGCTATCCCTTTCTCTTCTTTGCTCTGTACCTGATCAAGTACATTGGCGATGGTGGCCAGGCTGAGTCAGGAGGTGCAGGTCTCGCCATGGGCCTCTGGTTTGGCGAGACTTGGGGTTACACCATTATTCTCAGCGTCATCTATGGTGCTGTTGTCGGCTGGCTGGCAAAGGAACTTTTGCATTATGCAGAGAGTCGCAAATGGGTTGATCGTGAGAGCTTCCTCGTCTTTGCAATTTCGCTCTCCCTCTTCATTGTGGGAACTTGTGGAATGATTGGGAGTGACGATGTTTTGGCATGTTTCATTGCTGGTAACTCCTTCACTTGGGATGATTGGTTTCGTCTTGAGACGCTGGATGAGGTGAGTAGAGGAGACTTTGCTTCGTATGATGCTGCATGCAATTGCTAACCAAACTTGCAGTACGATGATACCCTCTCCGTGGTCGACTTATAGCTATAGACCTTGCATTGACTTGACTGACACGTGCTTAGTTCATTACAACCCACCATTGATATGCTTCTAAACGTCACCATATTCCTGTGGTACGGTGCTGTGTGTCCTTGGACAATCTTCGCGCACAACAATGTCATCCCAATATACAGGCTGATCCCCCTAGGCATTCTCATCTTGTTGCTCAGGAGACCCCCGATCATTCTCGGCACTCGTAAATGGATACGACAGCTTCAAGATTTCCGAGAGTCACTCTTCATGGGCTTTTTTGGACCAGTGGGAGTTTCTGGCATCTTCTACCTCTATGTGACATTGGACTTTCTTGACACATTAAAGGTGGGAGATGAACAGAGGTCTGATGTTGCCAACATGGGTGAGACTGTCACTGTGATTGTATGGTTTGTTGCCATATGTAGTGTGGTAAGTCTCGTCTTATTTGTCCTCTAGTTGAACTGTTACTCACTTTTGTTCCAGGTCGTCCATGGTCTGAGCATCCCACTGGGCAAACTCGGCTTCTATCTGCCCAGAACTATTTCGCGCAGCTTGACCTTGGACAACCAGCAGCCCGACGCTAACCCGTCTTTCAACTTTCGTGGCCGTGCGAGTGCGTTTCTGCCCTCGTTCCAGTCCCGGTCACGAGGCGGCACGGAACCTAGCTCACCCAGCGCCTCGCGGTCTGCTTCGGCACGTCCCATCCATAGAATCGGTGGGACTGTAATCAAAGATAACCGTCAGACTGGTGGTGACGATACACAAACATTTGTGCCCGCGTCGAGATTCGAGGTCATAGGTTACGGGTCAACCCATGAAAATCAACCGCAGTCCCCTGGGCTACCAAACAGGACGATTCGGTTTGGAGACGAAGGCCGAACCAATTCCGAGGCGCCATCGGCTAGCTAGAGATACTGAAGCGTCTCGAAAGTCGGCGGCAGTGTCCAACTCGACTGGGCACGTCTGCACAGTCGTGGTGGCTGTACAAGCTCGCTGACCATCACTCGCTTGCCCCCTGAGGGTTAGCATGAAATCATATTTCAATTGAACCATTCATTAGAGGCCTGGCTACAAGATTCACATTATACAATTGTCCTCAACGAGCACAATTGCAGGATGCTCTACGAAGAGCTTCCTTCATCCTGGTGTGCTCTCGAGGTGCAGCCACGTCGATGTTGTGAGCATTTGGAGGAGCTTGCCATTTCACTTGCCCTTCTTCGTTTGCGTAGCCTAGCATATAGAGGTTCAGCACATGATCAGTGATGGATATGAAAGCATGTAGGGCGTTCGAGTTTCATTACGTACAACAACAAGTTTCCGTACAGGTTTTGTTGTTCGGGCCGTCGATTCAACATCGGCGGTAATTTTTTGCGGTTTTTCTTTTTCCTTTTGGTTTCCTCGGTCAATATACAGTCGCTCGTTTTCAAACTCTGCTGTTGCAAAACTCTGCCCTGAAAAGTCCCTCGCAATTCATTTGCATCATACCGTGACATTTGGTGTACCTTTATGTCTCCATCAGGCGGCACCGGATTCGACAAACCGAACCCAGACCTGAGTCACCAAGTCACGAAGAAGGGTCTTTAAAGTTTAATTCTTGTGTCAGTTCAGGAACCAAGAAACCATGCACAGCGTACATTACAAGGCTGAGTAGGCCTCCATTGCGTGGGGGGGTTATCAAGGTTGCTTGTCCTTCGATGGGCATAAAACAGGTAGGTTTTAATGTTTGACCCCCCAATCCCCCGTGTCCCCGAATTCGCCGAATGTCAAAACAAACTGTAGATCATTACACCCTTTGATTGTTGTATTTTTGTTCTTCACAACCTAAAGTCAGGGACAAGTTTTTGAATACTTACGAATGGCAAAAGCTGTCATATTGAATTCCGTATGTATGTATCGTCCGGGTGAGGGAATCGCCAGTATTATGTGCTCCGATATTTAATGATGACGTGGTTTTTGCTTGACCTTTCTGTCCTCGGTCCGAACAGAAATTTTCCATCATCTCTTTTCTCTCCTTCTCCCCGGTTCTCACCATGCATGCTTGGATGTTTTTGAAAGAGAAGGAACAGGACGGAAAGCGAGAAAATATTAGGTTACGTTCATCGGACGGAAAGTTTCGTGGGGGGGCGTTTTGCCGACAATTTTAGCGTCGACATCATTACACACCATAAGACATTGATACCTGCATAGTTGTTTGCAGCGAGGTCGGCATGTTATCTTGGAGAAGTGTGCAAGCGAGATGGACACACCGAGAGAGGGTTCATGATATCGATCTTATCCCGTCTCTTAGGCCACGGTGCCAAGCCACTCAGTCCAAGGAGCCCGGGGTTGGTACACGGACTGGAACTGTATTCATCACTACGATATGGAGACGATGATAAGGAAGGGGTGGGAAAAGAAAGCAAAGATGAAAGCCAAGACGAGATAGGGCTGTGGTGGTTCTTCTTCTTGTGGTTTGTGCCTTGATTGCGAAGATCGATTGCTGCATTGCGCAAGAAAATCAATCATACACATACCTACCTGGGAAGGGATGCTGCATCATGTACAGAGTACGCGCACGCTCGCTGACCAATATCAAAAAGTCATGTAGGTGCTAGGTAGGTATGTAGTATTTCGGCGAATTTTTTTTCTTCTTCTTCTTCTTCTCTCTCTCTCTCTCTTTATCTTTACTTCGCTTGACCCGGGGGGGAGGAGAGCCGCAGTGATAACCCGTCAATGTTGATCCTTCTTCAGGGATTCTTCTGTTTGCCGTCATTTGCGTTTTGACATCACTTATCTATCATTGTTCCATCTGTAGCAGAAAAAAAATGGCCGTTTCCCGGATGACGGGCAAAAGACGACAGAAAAACCTAGACACACGTCCGAGATAGGTGCCGTGGAGGTTTTTTTTTTTTTTTATTCATCATGACAGACAATATGCTCGGCAGCGGTACGCAGATTTAGCGTTGTATGAATTAGTACCTAGGTAAACGGTTTCTAAACAATCAATATTGGCTATTGTTTACCTTGAATCATGGGAAAAGACGAGCCACGTCTGGAACAGAAAGGTGTGCTTGTTTTACCAACCACGATAATATCTTGCCCGTACGTAGTTTATCTATAGGTTGACCAGCCCTGTAGTATCAAGTTACATACATACCTAGCACATACATGTACGTGCATGCATGCAAAGTATCTACGGATGCCTGAGCCGGTGAGGCTAGATGGTGGATTGTCCCTTGTACGCACGCACACGGCAATCAACCCATTCGACGAGGATTCCTCCGAGTTGTACAAAGTAAGTAAGTTGTACAAAGCAGATAGGCCATAGGAGGTAGACCGTAGTGTGAAGACCGAAATTCCCCGAGTATTCATTCACCCCCCAGACCCAAATTCTTCCCCCCCATGGTTTTTGAAATCGACTATTTTAGTTTACAGGCAAGAGAGAGAGAGAGGGAGAAAGAATTATGTACTCTGGAGTGCTGTAGCGCTGGCAGCACTACAGCAACGGGGCTTCGCCCCCTCCTTTGTGTGGCACCATGAGCGACGGCTGTCTCGTGCTCTTATTCCACTAGATAGAGTATTGTTCTGCACGGTAATGACATAAGACCCTGGTGAAGGGTCAAAGATTTTTCTCTTTTGAGTTCGCAAGGGTAATGCAGGTAGGCTGATAGGCCACACAGCCAGACAGAACCAGATTTTTTCCCTCTTTCTTTCTGTGTGCTGGAGCGAGCAGTTGTGTGTCGGGTGCCCCATGTACTACCAGAGTGGTAATATCCATATGGAGACCGAGAGGGCGGAAGAGGGCGGATGATCGGCCTTGAGAGGGGACCTTAGTACGCTTGGCTGGCTTGGCCCGTTCTGCTTGCTGGCAATAAATGGATACTGGAGCTGCGTACAAGGTAATGTACAGGTAGGTTTGGAAGGCTACGGGGCTTGGGGTCTTGTGGCACTGACTGCTTGGACAAGGCGCCAAGTAGGTCATTGTGGATTGGATTTTCTTTGCACGCGTATGTGTTTTATTTTCACGAGTGTAGAAATTCAATGGACTTCAATGGTATATCGAAGGGCAATGTATTGAGTGCGTAGCACGGCCTCACTAGCACTAGATTTGTGCCTTGCGGAGAATCGCAATGGGCCCAACGCCTAATCGTGCCGACAAACTTGTCGAGGATAGATAGTATAGATCTAGGGTAGAATGGAAATCTCCTCATGGTGCATATATCATTTTTCGGGGGCTCCAAAATGCCATCGGCGGCGCCTGGTGCCTGATGGCAAAAATCTACTTGTACCTAATGTAATGTAAACTTTAGCCAGCTTTTGCTGTGCCTGGGTTTTTTTTTCTTCAAATCTCATCTGGGTGTCTGCTTCTTGGCTTGGCCCCCCGAGAACCCCCGGTCCATCAATATCAACTGGGCAGGGTCTTATTGGCGGGTGCTGGCATTAGCGTCCTTTCTCCAGGGCCGGCTAGCGACTGTTAGCTGCCAATTCTCGAACTCATTCCTCCACTTTTCTTGCTGTCCTGCTGTTCTGGAGTGCGCGGCTATCGGCCCTGCTGCTGTCTAGACGTCTTCTCTGCTTCTTTACACATTCATCTCCTGACTGAATAACCACATTACCTATCTGCGCCCTCTTTGGACCTATCTTAGGTAGGTATCACTAGTTCAGACCTTTTTGCACTCAGTGAAGCGACACGAGACCAAGACGGACACAACACCAAATTGTCTGTCTGCCGACATATTCTTCTTCTTACTACCCAGCCCTCGGTGCTGGAAAATCACAGACAACAGCAAAAGAGCAAACAAGGTAAGGGGGTTTACCTAATAAGAGCTGCTACGTACCTACACCTAGATCTCGCTCAAATATAACGTACACAACTGCCTGCCCAGCAGCCAGCAGTACCTAGCCCACCCCCCCAGTACCTTTTTAGTGAGTGGCTAGACAGAAGACGCCCCTCCTTGCCTCCCAAATTGACCCCCAGCCAGGTCCGTCTAACCCGATAGCGGAAAGTCGATCACTCACTGAGTGTCCAGCTTACCGCAATTTTGGCCCTCCCCTTCTCGAAAACTCAACACCCACGCGTCTCCAGTCAATCAATCAATCAATCCCACCTCGACCAAAGGCCGACGTCGACATCCACATACGTCGCCATTCCACCCGAAAACATCACAAACAAACAAATCACAGTGTCGCCTGACTTGCAGCTTCTTATTCATCCCGGTCACGAATTATTTCGACGGCGCAGTTCAATCCCACCAGCTTGAGCACGTAATCAAACCGACCTTCGTCGGTGACAATGCAGCTTCGGGTTTGAAGGCCTGTCCTGCTGACATTTCAGACTGCTACTGCTCCCTCCCTCCTCCCAACACCTCTGTGTGGAGTCTAGCGAAAGTTTCTCGCAATCAAGAACGAATTTTCAATTCGCCTGGTCAGAAAGCTTTACCGAGAGTGCTGTCCTGCCCAGCGTCGAGAACAACGTCGAGTTATTTCGCAGTTACTCAACAATTGGGCTGGTGGATCAGAGACGGATTTGAGGACTACTTTTTTTCTTCGCGACCAAGTTGTTTGGCGTTTCTGGAGGCGATGCCATCTAGTGCTTTCAACTTTGGCAGGACATTTGAGTCCGACACGGGACTGCCAGGGGATGCCTATGGCGGCGAGTTCATGAACGACGACGAAAGCAGCGGCCTCTACCCGTACGTCGACACGGACATGCTGCAGCTGGATCAAGCTGCATTTACAGATCACAAAACACTCGGTGCTACCTCCGACCGCGCGACAGAACACACACATCTAGGTGCGCCTGGCTTTTCGCCAGAGCTGCATCGGGTCTCATCCTCATCAGGCTCGAGCCGAAGTGACGGTTCAAACTCGTCGAGGACCGGGAGTCGGACCTCGCCAGACATTATGATGACAAAGGACATGCCTTTTGGTAATGGCAAAACACCACTTACCGTGATTGGAAATGGAGGCTTTGGTATCGATGGCAATACCGACTTCCTGGTAGATGACACGCAAGTCCCTTCGCACTTTGACAACAACTACTTTGATTTTGAAAGTGCCTCAATCGAGAGTGCCTCAAGCAGCCCAAGTGCTGCACCCGTTGCAGATGGTCACCAGTCCATGTCTCCAGAAGCTCATTTGATGGGCACCGTGGCACCTATTGGAAGTCCAAATGCAAAGAGAACGAAAACCCACGTGAAGGCTCAATCTGTGAGAGACCCCTTACCCAACGCAGGCAGAAGTGATAAGCTAACAAGCGCAAAAAAAGCAACACTCCTTGACCCAAGGGTTCCAGTCATTACGCACCAACAGAGAGTCCATGTCGCCAATGCGAAATGACCGCATCACCAGAGGGCCGTCCATGTCCCCCATGTATGTGAGCAACGAGGTGTCTCCGGCAACCGGCTTGAACACGCCTTCGCCCGAAAACAAATTCGATTTCAGTGCGCCACACAATGGGTTACCCACTGCCCAATCATGGGGATTAGGTTACCCGCAACCGGGTCCGTTTGCATCGCATGGAATGGGGGAGGTGCCGGCTTACAATAACCACCGCATGTCGAACCTAGTTCCTCCGCCCCAGCAGCCTTTCCCTACATCGGCGCCAAAGCTGGTCATTCAGTCGACGCCTCTGAAGTCTCGCGTCGAGACGCAAATACCCATCAAGATGATTGTATATAACATGCCGCCAATGTATAAGCGCCTTCATCTACCTCCACATACCATCTCGAAAGCCAAACTCCTGGCAAAGCAGGCAGCAGCACCTTCACCCGATATGCTAGAGCTGTACACTATGCTTGTTTGTACCAGCGCCATGCGAGACGAGGAGAAGCTGAAAAAGGCATTTGCTCGTGCAGCTGAAATAGGTCACCCAAAGAAGCACGAAGCTGATCCAGCTGACGATGACGAATCACCTCAGAACGGAGGTGAAGTCCGAATTTGCGCCGGTTGCATTACCCGAGAACGAAAACGGGCCGGCCGTAAGAAGAACAAGAAACCTGAAGAGGATGAGCTGTGGGATGCACACCAGTTTCATCGGGCCATTGTTTTCAACACGAACGAAGTCAAGGAATGGCAAGCCGTTGCTGAGCCAGCAGTAGTTGGTGTTCATATTCCACCGGGTACGATGCAAGTCGACGCGCCGATGCGTATTGCCTGCTACTGTCGACATCACGCGGAGAAAATGGGTTTCAAGGTCATCTTTACCATCAAGGATTTCCAAGGTCGTGTCGTAGCGCAGGAGATATCTTCGTCAATCATGATTACGGACGATCACAAGACTCACGTGCCCGTCAGTGCTCAGGCGTCTTCGGGTACCGGCAACCCTGAGAACTCAATGCCGTCTGCATCAATCGAAGCACCGGACGGCAATTCACTCGAAACCACTCTGTCGTATCAGCCAGCGACACAACCCGCGCCCGACTTTCATGGCTTGCAACACGTCGCTCAGGCGCCGTATCATCAGCTATTAACCAACCCCCAGAGCTCACAAGGTGCCTCGGTGGCGCCAACGCCCCATAGCCAGTCTAGGCAGGTGTCGCCGGTCAGCCCGTCAGGCCCTGCCTCAAAGAAGAGAAAGGCTAGTGGTTCTGTCAAAGTGCCTTCGGAGCTCGCTATGACTCGAATCGAAGCTGCGCAGCCACCGCCAAACATGCCTCTCGCAAATCCGCCCAATTCGTCGGCTGTCTCTGCCGCACAATCCCCATTCTCACCACCGGCGCAAAATTACAACCTACAGGGCAATAACAACGGATTATTCGCTAATGGTACTCAACCAGGCTTTGGTTCCAATGCTATGCCGCAACATTTCACAACAGGCTCGGTGACTCCCAACAATACCAATGGCAACGATCAGGTCCTTTTCTCCGGTGCTAACAGAAATATGAGCTTGGACAATTTAAACATTACACAGTCAATGTTTTCGGCACCTCCTTCAGCACACCCTAGCCGTGCCCCGAGTCCGAATTCTTTGAGGAATGATGCCCAGCAGAGTCCGCTCAGCCAGGCATTGTATGCGCAAGCCTCCATGAACATGAATGTCAACCCACCGGCTGTCCCGACAATTCATAAAATCATTCCCAACGAGGGCCCAAAATCTGGTGGAATTGAGGTCACTATATTGGGAAGAAATTTCACCAACGATGGCCTGGAGGTGATGTTTGGAGAGCAGAGAGCGACGACAACCACCTACTGGGGTGAAACTTCTCTCGTTTGCCTGCTTCCGCCTTCTCAAATTACTGGCCCCGTTGTTGTTTCTATTAGACAACCCAGATCCGCAGAGCCACCGACATTAAGCAAGAATCCGCCAATTTTCCGTTACCACGATGACAACGAAGATCAGCTCATGAGGACTGCTTTGGCTGTTCTTGGCACAAAATTCAATGGACAAATCACAGATGTTGCGAGCATAGCACGTAGCATCATACAAGCCCGGAGCGGCGGAGAGCCAGTCTGGGGAGCCCCCGCCGGTTCAAACGGCCAAGCGCCAGGTGGCTATAGCTTCGATCACGCTCATACTCTGGAGACTGCTCTTCTCCAGATACTAGAGATGATCGATCTTGACGATAGTATTCACAAGGTGCGAATCAATCTGAGGCGGTCCACTGGTCAGACAATGCTTCACCTCGCTTGCTCGATTGGCATGATTCGTTTCGTGGCTGGACTGCTGTCACGCGGGGCCAATCCAGGTGCCCGCGACAAGGGAGGCTTTACGCCGCTACATTTTGCTGCCATGAACAACCACCCCGAGATTGTTCGTCGCCTCATCATTGCCGGTGCAGATCCAACGATGCGCAGCCTCTCAGGCTTGCGTCCAGTGGATCTTGCTCCCAAAGATCCCACACAGTCTAGGGATGTAGTTCGTGCCCTTCGCCGGATTCAAACCCACGAGCGAAGCCGTAGTGGTAGCTCGCTGCAGAGCAGGGCCAATAGCGCGACGTCCTTACGATCGCTGTGGGATCCGCCTGCCGCTATTCGCCCTCAAGAATTTATGTCTGATTCGTCTGATCGGGTCGATTCGAGTGATAGCTATGAAGACTCGTCCGAGGATGAAAAGCCAACTGCTGAGAGCGAATGGCTAAATATGAGACGAGCGAGTGCTACCCATGGTAGTAAGCCTCCACGCGCCGTTGCCTCGCCACCCGCGACAGATATCCCCGCTGGCATGGCCTCACCTACAGCCGCCATGACAGCTTTCAGGGATCAATTGACAGCACAGATGCAACAGTTTCAGCAAAGTATGGCAATGCATCTCCAAAACTGGCCGCAGTGGCAAATGCCGCAAATGCCACAGATGCCACAGATGCCGCACATGCCAGTTCTTCCGGATTATCACAACTATTTGCACAACGCGCCGCCTGTCATGCAACGCATCGCCTCTCTGGTTCCCGCGATTGGTGCCGCAAGACCTGACTCCGCTGAAGAACAGGTCCCAGGGGATGGAGGCAGGCAAAGATGGGAAGCACCGTCCGCCTTGAGCGCCAACCACGCATCGCCTCCCGCCTACGATGAACTCTTCCCGCAAAAGCAGGCCAAAACCAAGCAAGATCTCAAGCAAGCAAACATTGCTGCCGCCACCACAGCCGCCGCCGAGTGTGCACTAGACGAGAAGTGCGCAACACTATATGATCAAGACCAGGTAGCAGTTGAATCATCAAGGGTCCGTGAGAGGCCAGCGCTTCTGCAGATTGGGCACAAGAATGCCATTACAAAGGAGCAACAGGAGAATTTACAGCGCGCCCACGCCGAGAGGCTCAAGACCGGCAGCAGTGATAAGATGCTCTGGTTCGTCTGGGTATGTGAAAAACTTTGCCTGATCCATTTAACGCGAGACATTTGCTAACTCGTAGCCACAGATTCCTCTGCTCACTCTCATTCTCGGCTTTATGCTCTTCAACGGCGCTTTGGGCTTTGTCTCTGGAACAGGCAGTATCATCAAATCGACGGCGACCTTAGTGGCATCCCCTGGGGAAGCCCTACTACGAATGCGCGAAGAAGCTCCCGCTTAACCACAAGACCATACATATCCAGCAATGGTTTCGGTCATTTTCACAAGTCATTTTTGGTTCTTTTTTTCGGGCAGGCACTTATCATAGCGAATCATTCAACCATAGAACCCCCCAGCTCCCATTTTACCGTCATCACGGGGGTTTCCGCAATCTGAACCATGAGTACGGGGATTTGGTTATTGCCAGCATTATTTGTTTGATTGCTTTATATACGTATTATTATTTTTTCTAGTCATTGGACGTTGGCGGTGGGATTGAACTGGGTGCAGGGTAAAGGCAAATGATCAAGATCGTACGGGACAGAAAGAATGGCTGAAAGAGATTTTTCTTGCCTTCTTATTATCGTTGACATGATGACGGGTTATCAACACACGTGCAAGAGTCACGTGGTCCACAGGAAGGACGAGAAATACTCTTTTGGGCGTTTTCTGGGGTTCTTCTTGTTTTTGTTTTACTTTTTTCTCTTTGGACATTCCCATGAGAAGTAGAAGAAGAATCCATTTTGAGTGTTATATATATATACCTAACTGTGTATGTGTAGATAGAGTATCTCACGCGAGTGCGTGCTTGATCACGATTGCCCCGTCTTGTTACTATTCTCTGAAGCTCAATGTGTAAGAGGGGGAAAAATAAAATATAAAAAAATGAAAAATCTAAAGTCAAAAAGTCTCAGTCTATTGTGCACTGAAAGCGCCGTAATTGATATCCCACTTAAGATGGATCAAAAAGAATAATACATTAGACAGCCCATATGGCTGCAACTAGAGAAGGAACAAAAGAAGACAGGAGCACCCATCTACAATGAACACCACACTTATGTGAAAAAGACAGTTGGCTACACCTATCTAATGCATGATGAGCCAGAGACTGCTCGAAACAAGATGTGAAGAAAAGGATAGGCGTTGCCCTTACTTTTTTCATGGCTATATACAAGGTACAATGGCCTTTCTGATGACCAAAGGTATTCAGAGCCGTACATGCGGAAACGAGAGTGAAAACAAGACAACATGTATAAAAACGCCCCAAGAAACTCCCCATCATTCAATACCGAAGCTCTTCATTTATGACCCCCCATCATCGCCAGTAATGCCGTGGCGGGAAAAGATATAACAAGAAGGAACTTCTCCAGAAGCAAATCATGATTAGAAAACAAAATTATCAAGGACGTATCATCCAGAACAGAAATTAGATTTCGTGACCTCGTGGGCTGTCGTGACCGAAGCAAGTCTTGGGAAAAGACAAATCAAAGTGACCGAAAACACCATGTATGATGATATGCAAGCCTTCATCCCTCAATCACTCTCTCCCTCTCTTTGGAGAATGCGGCAACTGAAAAACCAGAAATCTTGCAGCTTCGCGTTTAGTCAATCTTTCAGTCGTGTGCCACTTGACCATGGCGTGCGCTTTCATTTCCAACTTCGACAACAAGGCCTGCCCGTTACAGAGATTCTGTATCTCAAGTGCTGATTAGGCTCATTTCTTGTTCTGGTGGTTCCTATAGCGCTTGTCCATACGTGATTGGGATGATCTCGTTCTCATCCACGCTCATTCTTTCATGTTTGTAGAGTTTTGGGATAGAGGGGACAGAAGGGATTCCCTTGTTCAAATCTGGCACGATACATAGAGGCTCGGCTGTAAGGACAGACTGCCCATCAGAAGACGTATGGTAGGCACTCTCAAAATGGTGGTCTGGCTGCAAACTGTCCACCGAGCTCCGAGAGTGAGTGCCACTGTCGACATCCATGGGCTCCCAGTTGGTGGTGCCGTACTGATGATCTTCGCTGTGCCTGATTGCCGTGGAGCCCAAATATTTGTCCAATGTGACGGGGGGCCTCGAGGGGCCTTTGCCGTTCTCGTTTCTCTTCTGCAGACGCTTGGAGACTGAGCGAACCCTTAGACCAGTCTCCATTCCCGGTGCACCAGGACTGAAATAGACGTTTTTCTCTTCGCTGTCTGTCTCCGGCCCGTCAGCTACCGTTGGAACAATGCGGATCATGCCGTCGCTCTTTGTTTGCAGTTGGCTGGCCAGGGCGCTGGGCATCTTGCGCAGCTTCTTTGACACACGTCGGCTGATCCCACCCACCTGTGTAGCAATGTGTTCCGCGGTCGACGAAGAAGGTAGCTGCTGAGAGACCATGGACGCGACCTCGGAGACATTATCATCCCAAGAGTCGCCACGGGCACGCTTCCGTCCTCGAAATCCCTTTCGAAAACTTTCCCAGGATGGTTTCACCTTGACCTGATTCGTTTCCGGAAAGAGCGGAGGAGGCGGTGGTAGGCTAGAAGGCATCGGCGGTATCGCAAATTCTCTAATGCCGGGCGACGGCGGCATGGTAAAGGAAGACCGCTTAGAAGCCTGCTCTAATGACGGACGATCTAAGGATGGAATGGTGGACAGTGGGGGCAGTCCACGAGAGACATGGTTTGGTACAGAGCCCGGAGCGGGCTGACGTGTGGACTGGATGGCATGAGCCTTGAAGAAGCCCGTAGCCATGAGCTCATTGTAGGACGCCATGATTTCTTCCTTGGTGGGACGATCGCTCATATTGGGACCGCCCGAGCCATGGAAGCTGGCGGGTAGTTGTGGGATCTGTGACGAGCTCTGGGATTTCGCCATGCCTCCCCGTTGAACGGGTATCGGGATGGGGCGGGCAGGAGCGGGCATTGCTCCGGTTAGCAACATTGGCTGGTGTTGCTGTTGCGTGTACGATGTTGGCGGTTGCTGCAAGCTTGTCCTCTTGTCCATCTCGTTTTGCACATTGCTCAGGACCGACTTGGTACCCGTAGGCTTGCCGAATAAAACCTCGCGCACACGACCAAGAAGGCCGGGCTTCTTTTGCACGTCTTCCATCTTCAAGTCCTGCGATTGCTCAAGCTGCTCGAGTTGTCCTTGTCGAAGGCGCAGTGTGTCATAGGGCAGCGTCTGGAGCTGAGCCTGGGCAGACATGGGCCGCTCGCGGCGCCTACTGATGCTTCTAACACGTCGCGGGGCCCGTTGGGGCGGCTGCGCGACGTGGTTCTTGTTTTCTGCTTGGCCATAGAACTGCTTCTCATACTCGGCAGCCTCTTCGGGCCCTAGAAATTGTACAGGAGGGGCGGCGCTGCACCTGTCGTTCATGGATCCCTCCTGGAAGCGAGAGGTTGGTCTTCCGCCATCGGCCGAGGGGCGAGGGACTACACCGGCCGTGGTGGTGGTCATGTTGATGGAGGCCGATGTCGACGACGTTTTGGTTTCTTCGTCATCCGCTGATTCTTGTCGACGCAAGTAACCCTATGCGCGCTACAGGGAAAAGGTTGTTGTTATTGATTTCAGGAATCGCTTGGGAGAATTGTCTGAATTGTGTATTGACGGGTATGTTTTTGGGTGAGATGCAGACACAGAACTAGACCGGACGAGTCTGTAGCTCGAGGAGTGGGGGATTTGATTTGGGTGTGGAATGGGAAATTCTTGTTTACTCACCTTGGATTTGTTTACTAACGGGGGATCGGCCGTGGTTGCCCAGCGTTGGCGGGGAGCCCCAACTTGGGGGTGGAGCGGACGGAGGGGCGGACTGATGATCAACTTTGTGGAACCGGAGACAGCCCAGATTGGTACAGATTAGAGAGATTTCAAGGCACGGGAAAAAAAAAAAAAAAAAAAAAACCTACTACGTACTACGTCTGATGTCTACAAACACCACTAATAATAAGAGCCAGCCATTGAAAGCCATCCCAGTGGGGTACATTGATTACCTACATCACTGTCGTTAGCTGGTCATAACTTAAATACTTTGATAATAACTCCCAGATAATAAACATGAATACACACAAGCCTCGCCCTTTCTTTAGTTTCATCTATATAGTCTTTTCGGCAATTTTTTTAAACTTGATTTTCAGGTCAAGTACAACTTGCCTCCTGAAAATTTTAAAAAATATTTCATATATTTAAGTATGAATCTCTCAAAAATAATTTTTGACCTGCCTGACCACCGTCTACTTAGGGTCCTTGAGCAGGCCATGCTTGAATTGCCGTGTTGCTGCTTTAAACACACTATACGCGCTCGCTTATTGCCCCCCGTCCCATATGTGAATTCCAACAATGAAGCTACCATTATCAAATAGCGAGGACAATGTCTGCAACATGCAGTCCCGGTGCTGGATCCCATCATCCTGTTGTCTCTGTACTTTGGACAAACACAAGACCCTCACCCTTTGCGATGGACAATGCTCCCGAGACCGTACGCCAGTGGCATCTACAAGCAGCCGCCACTTTCTGAAATCCGCCTTGCCGTACAAAATAAATAGTAGTGTATACCGTGAAGCAGAGAGAAAAGAAAAGAGAAAAAAAAAACATGTCTGGCTGGCATTCTCGAGGCACAGCTAGGTCTGTCGTCGTATAACCAAATCAGAAAAAGGTGCTGACGTTGGTGAACGTAGATTTTCGTAAATACAATGTTTCAGCAAAGAAATGCAATGGTATCATGGTGTGTTGTTGCTCAACGCAGTTCGTTGTCCACTAGAGATCGAAACGACCGTTTGCGAGAATGCTTCATGCTGTCGCGCTCGTCCTCGGCCCGTAGTTGGGGGTCGATAGCCACCCGAAGATCATCCCCCATGTAACCAGGAGATTCCTTTTCTGAGCCGTTACCGCCTGCTCTCTTGTACACAAGATGCGACTTGAGGTCGTCGACAGAGTACTCGCCATCATTCGATTCCTCGTATGAGCGCTTCAGCGAAGAGATAATCGTTCCGCTGATTGACGAGCTAGAACTCGGAATAAGGGAAGTTGTTGGCGACGGCAGTTCGGGCTTGATCATTGGAGGCAATTGAGAATCGCGACGGAAGCCCGTATCAATCGGCGGCATTGGCGGCCTTGGCTGAAGAGGTGGGCCATATGCTGAAACTGGTTGTGCAGGCATTGACGGGTACGTCAACGACGACCGTCTGTCTTCCACTACGTGCGACGCTGTTCTGTCGCCATACGGGTGCCCATAGGTTGGAGTTGGCGGGTATGCTGATGATGAGGCAAACGAGTTGTGACGGTAAGAAGGTGTGTGGGCTGCTGGCGAGACTGGCTCCGAGTGCAGTGCCGGCGCCGGCGGTGCAGGCTGGTATGGCTTGTTGTACGTTGGCGCAGCAAAGCTCAGCAGACGTTGGCTGGGAGCCAGTGCGGGTGGAGGAGGGTGGTGGTCAAAGCCGGATGCGCGACGGTCGCTTGCGCTGCTAAGAGATCGGTTGCGGTAGGCGTCAGCCGGAGACTGAGTTCTGCGATCCTTGGCATATTCCTCATCGCGCTGTTCGTAATCATTTGTCTGGGCAGCGCCCTTATTCTCACGACGACGCATCCTGACATCTCTCCGAATTCTGACGCGGCACCCTTGCTCAGCCACAGTGCGACTCAGTGGTGTGCTCTCCGCAAGGCCGGGAAACTTCTTGGCGCTGAAGACGGTGAAAGGTTGCGATCTGACCTCGTTAAGAAATGTGAAAAATAGACCGTCCTCGTCCTCCATGTTGTCACCCTGGTCGATGGGGTTCAGGTCCTGAGCGTCCTTGTTCCGCTCGTACAGTCGAAAGATTAGCTTGTAGCGTCCCTCGTGGCGTACAGATAGGTCCGGGAAGAGAAAGTAGCCAGCTGGCGATGGGCGATCAAGGTAACAGCAAGCGGAAACGGGTACACCAGTCAAGACGGGAGGCGACGTAGCTGCTGGTGTTTGCACACGACCGTGTGCCATGGGACGGGCGTTCTCCAGAGATACAAAGAGAAAGAAGTCGGAGTTGTAGTCCATGGTAACATCTTTGGCTTCGGCCATGGTCTCGCCCTCCCACACCGTCAAGCGAACAATAGGCGGAGGGTCAACAGGTCGACGATCAGCAGAAGATTTAGGTCCAGATCCACATGCTCTGGCACGCTCAGGTTGTTGAATGACCATGAGATCGTAATGAATACGCTTTCCAGCTCTCGTTTGACGGCTCCATTGCTGATGCGACAGCGGATCTCCCGCCTTGTGAATGTGTGTCGCCATTTTTGTCTAAGAATAAGTTAATATTGTGATTGTCTATGGATGATGTGATAGCATCATCGCGTTGAAGATGAGTTGTGGGGACGACGCAACAATGCGGTCGACGTCTACGATGGAATGGTTTTCCAGAGCATCACAGTAGGTGTGAGATGTGTCATCATACCTTGGATGTGAAAAAGCTGCAGCCAGCGGGTCAAGGATGACGGGCGCAGTGGTGAACGAGCCTGATTGCCCGTATACTCAAAACCTACAGCGTGGAATGGCGGAATTGATACTGCAATATAACGAAACGTTTGAGTAAATTCTGGCAGCCGACCTCTGATACTCGTAAAGAAAGATGTGACGGTTCTTTCTTTCTTTCTTTTCTTTCTTCTTTTCTCCCTTCCTTCCTTCGCGCGAGTCGAATCGAGTGCAACGGGGTTGTTCAACTTCAGACTCAAGGGCGGTGGCGGCGTCGGCGACAACGAGGATGAACAGGTGGAAAGAGAAAGGTTGAGTCAAGCCCGAGTCAAAAAATTGGAGGGAGACCCGTTGAGCTGGAACGCGGGAAGGGTAAGTGAGAATGTAAGAAAGCTTAAGGGCCAGGAGGAAAGGCAATTGTGAGTGGCAGACCCGAGGCGCTGGAGCTGGGGCCTTGCTTTTCGAGGGGCGCGGCAGTGGGCACGGTGCTGGGTGCTGGGGCCACTGACTCGCTTGGCTATTAGGTTAGGTATGTCCCAAGGGCAAGCAGCGGGTTGGAGGTTTGACCAGGTCCCGGGGATTAGGAACAGGGTGGGCGGACGCCAGGCTCTTGTTGGTTTAGACCAACGACAAGGTAAAATGGCAAGGGTAGGTAATAAGGTAGGTACTGCGTAGGTGGCAGCAAGCAGCTGGAGAGGGGGGAGGGGGGCGGAGGGTGGCCTCGAGACGACAGAGCAGACGCAAGAGGGAGAGACAGACAGACAGACAGACAGGCAGGCAGGACAGACAGCTTTACACTAGCAGAGAGGTACCGATCGATCGGACACGGCAGGCAATGGTGCGCGAGTCAAATAAAGACGGGGTCACTTCACTCTGACGATGCTCTCTGTGTTTTCTGCTTATATTCCTGTGTGCTCTTGTGCCAAAAGTCTTGATTCCATTTCTTCCCTTGCTTGAGGTGGAGTTTGAAATGGCTGCTGTCCAGCTGTCAGTTTGTATGTGAAATTTCAGCGGAAACGCAGGCGAAAGGGGGCGGCAGTGGGTTGGAGGCAGGCCCCCTGCAGAAGAATTTTGACACTCGTCACCAAAACGGGTGGTTTTCGATACCACAAGACAAAGGTGAACCGACCGAAAAATTGAGCTGTAACAAGGGGAATTAATCTCCAAGAGCAGGGAAATATTACATTTCTTGAATTGTATTTTTTACAATTCTTTTGGTAGATATTTGGCCGTCTGAAGTTGGGATACTACTGTGTAGTGGGCGCGAGTATCAAAATTCTTATGCGGGCCTCCTGGAGGGGAGTTTCGTCGCTTTTCCTTGACCAAAGACTGGGGAACTTGCCGCGGAAAAGGAAAAGGTGGGAAGGGAAAAAGAGAGAAAGAGGGAATGTGTGGGTGAGTGGAGACTGACTTATCGAAACAGGGATTTGGGGATTTCCATGGTAGCTGGTCATCCGCGGAGCCAATCAAGGTCCTGGTTCTTGAGCCCACCTGTGCGACGACGCCAAGGTCTAAATGTACATCACTCGGATTACTACTGGTACTATGTATACTCTGGTACATAGTAGGCTCGGCCTTGGTTGGGGTTTGCGCTTGCTTGTTCTCCTCTCACGATTCTGGACGTGCAGTAACGGCCAGCTGCTGTGTATGTTGAGAACTGAGAATCAGACATGGTATGTCTGTTACTATGTATTGTATCTCTCTTGTCTGCGCGATACTCTGCGAATGTACTCGTTTCTGTCAAAAGCAGATAGGATACCCCAATGAATGACTGGTACTGAGTATACGATGTACACATTTGGGGAGCACCATCAATGTCCCGTCTGGGTGGGCTGCCCCGAGCATGTAGACCCACAAATCAAAACTGTCGGGCCAATGTGATTACACCGGTGGAAAGGTGGTAATGGGTAAATGTAGTAATGGATTCACCGGGGTCCCAGCAGCCCACCTCTCAGGTCAAGCCCTGCTGACCCTACTCTCTGGTTCATGGGTTCGTTCGTGGTTTGATCGAATATGGCTTGCTTTCCCCCTTCCATCCATCCATCCATCCATCCCTCCCTCCGTGTCCTCCAATCCATCATTTCACAAAGCATTACCGGATGAGACTTTAACGAAAAAGGACTTTTAAAAAAGAACTGCACATGTTTGTTAGTGTGTACTGACTCTCTGTACCCTGGCGCACAAATGTAGCACCCTCGCAATACGCATGTGGGTGGTCCTGCATTGTTGCCGACGGATCTACCTGCCTTGACCTACCTACATGACCCACGTGCTGTTTATACTCACGTACTGTGTAGGCTGCAACTTGTGTTGTTGTTGGTGGTGGCTACCTTATACTATGTATATGACTGGCGAGCATGGGTTCAGGGTCAGTATCAGCCCATTCCGTATCGTTAGTGATACCACCCACCCACCCACCATTTTAGGGGCAGTGCAATTCCCGAAGTCTGGTACTATGTAGATTTGGGGTGGAAATAAACTCAAGTGCCATCTTTCATTTATAAACCCTCCATCTTGGATAGTTTTCGCCGCGGGTCACTTCGTCACGGGATGACGTGGGAATACTGTTCCGACGTTTTCCTGCGCCAGATGATGGTGTCGATTTCGAGCTCATGGTGGTGGTGGTGGTAGTGGTGCTATCTTGTTGTGTTGGTGGTTGCCGATAATGCCTATTTGCACACTTTAGAGAGCAACCCTAAGATAGGTTGCACTGGTATGTGCTGAGAAACGACCTGAGAGTGAACGGGCCAGTTGCTCTTGGAAAGAAGCGCATCCATCGCACCCAGCGGCTGTTGCATCCCAGTACCTGATGTAGGTACCCTCCCTGCCTGCACTCAGGTTTTAGTATGTAGCAGGTGGTGAGCGAGTGTAAGTTCCAACGCAGGCAGATTTCAATTAACCGCGAAGCCTAGGCCAGTCCCTTGCACGCGCTTCCCCGGGGGAAGAGATGCGACGCCAGCCAGAGCGGATATTCAATTTAGTATTCAATGGATTCGAATCTCTCGGCAGCGGTATTCTTTCCGATCGCATCGATTTCGTGCGAGATGAAAGGATTGAGCTGCTGAAGAACAGGTACACACGATATGGGAATTGATGGCGTTAGTATTGGATGATGGGATGGGGTGTCGTCCGGTCCAATGGTAGATGGATCATGGCACTTGGACGTTCTAGTCTGGTGCCCAGAAGAGTGTTTCCGTACTTCTGTCGTCGGGGAAATTCTTAGCGTCCTGCTGCTAGTGCGCTGGGGGCCCAGCTAAAATAGCCTTGCTGGGAGAATGAGTCCAGATCTGATGGGCCCAGTCAAAGTCTCTCTGGTCCATGTTCAGCGGCTGGCTTGGGCTGGCGGTAGGTACCACGCCCACGGTCCTTGAGGATCAATGAGCGCACAGCGGGGTCCGGGATGAGCCCGTTGCCCGTTCATTTGCGAATCACCCGCGGATGGAACACGATCGATCTAGGATCAGGGTGCCTTGGCTGGAAGTCCACCAACCCAGGTTAGGCATGTACGTATGTCATCAAAGTCCCTACCTACGCACAAGTGGTGGTCGAGGTACCTACTTGAATTTTTCCACCTTCACAGTACCATGACTCTTGTGTCAACTGTCAGTCCTGCCCACGTAGTATAGGTTTTGCAGAAAATCAATGAGATGATGACTGTTCGCAGTCTAGGCCACAATGGAAAATCATGAATCGAAACCGTTGAAGGTCCATAATAAAATCAGGCGTGTTGCTCCATTTACCTGCTGTACATTAGGTCGCAGGACCCTGGTCTATTTTTTGCGACAGACGACCACTTGGTCTACACAGAGACTGCCAATTCCAGCCAGAGGTGCAGCTACTACGGACTCGTAGAGTGGTCTACAGAAGAGCGCCTACATATCTTATCGACGCCCAACAAGTCTCCCCTGCACCAAACCGAGTCGTACACAAGCATCTGCAAAGAGAACCGGTCCATAGTCACGAAGCAGAACGGGATGCAGTTCGTACTCTCATGTGTTTGTATCTGTGTAATCCAGCGTGTGTAATGCAGCCCAGCAAGAAGCCGCAACGCCTTTCTCAAATCAGCTTGCAACATACCTGGCCTTATGTAAGAAAAGTACGTGCATAAAATTACCCGACAAGCCCGATGCTGCGAACTGCTTTTCGCAAGGCGTCCCCAAGGTTTCCTGTGCATAGTCAGGTACCAATCATGTCGAATGCCAGCCTCCAGGTGCCCCAAGCCACTGTAAGCGAGGGGTCTGTGTTTTTCTGTACGAAAGATTCCCAATGCTTCTTCTCGCTTGCACCCAGCTACCACCATAGCACGCGAGTGCTCACAGACATTCTTTCATGCCGGGCCACAAAAAAGATGACGCCGTGCATCGTGGCCATGGTCCATCGAATGGATTCGTTGAAAAAAAGACAACGGTCATCACATACACAGTAGTGTGCCAAGTGCGAGGACAATGCAGGGGATAGAGTGAGTGGGTTCAGCCGAGTTTGGGGGCAGGACCAGATGAAATGTGTTTCTCTGAGCTATATTGCCGTGACGAGTTTTCTTGTCGTTGGCTGCTTCAACTGTCGGTCCTACGCAAGACTTCGGTAAAGAGACTCCGTGGTCATGTTACAGTTGTTCGATACTCCGGAGGTGATATAGGTACATACATGCATTCATTACACACTTGGATACATAGATACTGTGTCGAGAGGGCCACCCGCTGGGGGGGAAGGGGTGCCAGACATTGAGACGCCCGACGACCACGACGCCGGCGCCGAGCTTAATTAGATAAAACTTGCCATGGCGACGACGTAAGCGGTACCAAAGAAATGGAAATGCCAAAGGG